AACTTTCAAATCACGTGCACCTTACACGTGATGTCAATCTAATCATGCAAATAAGTAATTTTAAATTAATAGATATATTTTTCACAATGTCATAATAGACACGAGAATCGAGATACGCTGAAATACCATTCGGAACGTCTCAATCTCTGTGAAACATTTCGTTTCTTTTCTTTCGCTATGTACTGAAGAGGACAGCGGGCCATCTTGAGAATATAACATTGTCCATTGTGTCGAACGGAACGACATTATATATCCGACTTCGACGGTCTCTTAACGACTTCTAAGTGTGAACTCGAAACAATACTTAAAAGACTCTTGACAAAGAGAGCAGTCGTACTAGCGTATAATAAATGCTTCGGTTGCATTATAGAATGTTTCACAATCTTGTATGTAGCAATATTGATATCATCAGCTGTTATTGTTATTGTTTTATTGATGTTTTTAGATGTGTAGTGTTTTTATAAACGTTATTCTTAGTAGAAAAATACATTAATGGGTGGAAAATCCATCTTCAATGTTCGGAAGCTGGTGTTTTACGAGCTCTCTGAACTATTTACTTAGGGGAAAATAATAGTCTGCGGTCACAAGACAGAGTAGGTAGATTACCTACACCGTCTGTGTGTCTTGTTTTTGCAATCGCTTGCGAAGAATGGTGAAATTACATTTTACGATTCAAGTATTTTCAAACTCGAAGGCACAATGTTTGGCTAGTACAGTCCCTATTAAATGTCGTGTAAAATAATAATCAAACAATAACCGATTTGTAACGATAATGTCAATAATTGTGATGGATATTGTATCGATATCTCACACTTGTTGGTCACGCACCAGCCCATATTTGCTGAACATTGTTTATCGACGAATAAAGGTAAAAATGTAATTATAATAAGATTTGTTCACGAAACTGATTAATGTTTTGGATAAATCGGATTATACGTAAACGAATAAGCCACACCCACCTTGTGTTTCTTACAACCAAGACCTGATATAGGTAACCTGTCTACCTCAGTCAATACAATTATTAAAATCCACATTTCAAAAGAGATAGCTAAACATACAAATAAAGATAAATCTTTAGACTGATTTTCAAACAAACGGACGTTGAACGTATGGATTATTTCTATAATAATGTTGTAAGAACGCATTTGCAGTATGCACGTCCGATCTGAATCCATGAAAATAAAGGTGGGAAAGCCATGCTTCGACACGAATTGGTAGGTTCGACCAGATGATACCACGGCCTCACAGAACACCGGTGTGAAACAACCACAGCGTTGTGTTTCGCCGTATTCGTGAGGATACCAGAGGCCCAATCCTGCCCCTCCCACAATCCCTAATCTCCAAAAGGTTGGCTACGCATTCGTAACTCCCCCGTTCTTGCGGGCGGCGCTGATTGCTTACAATCAGGTAATCCGCCTGCTCGTTTGCTGTTCTATAACGTGGTTTGTAACAGTGGTGGTAACAGTGGTTTTAGTCAATTATTCCCCAGGTAACTTTTGTCTAACCATTGAAAAACCAGCTCTTAGTGTAAGCTATTTGTAAAAAAATAACTTACTCTAAAAAATAATAATTAATAAATAAATCTATCTACTTGGTTTGTTCTCCAAATAAAAATATATTTATTTTACGAAATAACTAACATATTTTTAAAGACAAAAATAAAAATATTTTCTTCAGAAACAAGAAAATTCTAATGATAAATTGCGATCATTATAAAATACATTTCTTTTTATTTTAACAACGTTTATAAAAATGTTAATAAATGTTGACTTTTATATAGTACGGTTCAGTTTTCACGAGATTTCGATAATATTTATTATTTTTTTTTATTTTTTAAAAACGTTGCCCCACATTAGGATTTTCTCCTGTGTCGTGGGTGCGGTTACAAACATACAATTTCACATGCACATGACACCCAGACCCGAAACAACAATTTGTGGATCACACAAAGTGTTGTTCCGTGCGGGAATCGAACCCGCGACACGTTGCACGGCAGCCAGTTGCCCTGCCACCGCACCAACCGTGCAATCAATAAAAAAAAGATAAAATAAAGATGTAATTAGATTAAATAAAGATGTAATTAGATTGGAGATACAAACTTAATAATGGATTGTGATAAATATATCAATCATTCAGACCGCTTATTACTTTTTTAACACATAATGCGTTTGCAATTGGGGCGGATGGATTATATATAATTCTGTTTTTCTTTTTATATAATTTCGAACATAGTTTAAGCCACACATCCTGTACATATAAATGCGATGGAAACGCTATGTAGGTACATAAGCTAAGTGGAGTGATACCACGCCCTCACAAAAAACCGGCGTGAAACTACCACATTTGTGTTTCGCCGTGTGAGTGAGGTTACCGGAGGCCCATTTCTTCTCTTCTTATCTCTAAATCCCCAAAACCAAAATCCCCAAAAGACCGGCAACGCACTCGTTAGTCCTCCGTTATAGCTCAGTCGAACACGAGCTAGTCAGTTAGCTCGTTTTGCGTCCTATCATTTAAAAAAACATGAATAGGTAACTTGTAAGGATGCGCGACCGTTTTACTAGCTGGCGATGTGCCCTATACTTAAAACTTTGACGTCATCAAACCTCGGTTCAGAAGCTCGAAAGTCCCACAATGGCACTAACAAAGAATACCTATTATTTCGCTTCTAGAAAGTTCTGATACGCCGATTGTAGATATTCACTCAAACGTGTTCAAGAGCTAAACAAAACCTAACCAGAAAAAGGCCAGCGGGATTATTCCATTCCATTTTTTGAGTAGGTACGAGTAGCTTCACTAACATTGAATTTGTAATAAAAGAGTGTTATTCAAAAAGGGAAGGTTGCCCTCGGATTATCTTTATTAATTCCTTATCTTTTACCTAGTTTTATAAACATATTCTTATTTACATTACAAAGAAAATGTGACCAGAGATACTATTTATACATTACTAGCTACTCTCACGCGGTTTCACCCGCTGCTCGGCTCCAATTAATTGGAGCGTGATGTTTTATAGCCTATAGCACTCAGGAACATTGGAGCTATCTATCAGTGAAAGAATTTTGGCAATCTGACCAGCGGTCTGATCTGGCATACAAACTTACAAATTTTACATCTTTATAATTACTATACATTAGCATAGATAAGAAACTAAAAGGAAGGGATGTATTTCGGATGCGTATTTTAATAGACTCCATTTTTAATGGTTAGGAAAACAGGGAAGGAATTGCATGATCGCAAGCAATCAGTGCCACCCATAAACTCCCGCAACACCAAAGGAATTTTCTTTCTTCGTCTTCTCTGTTTTTATGAGTAACACTGCTTCGCAAAAAGAGGTGACAGCTTCCCAGTTGCTCTTGTTTTCTATTCAAGCAATGATGGGGTAAAAATTGCGAATATTTTGGCAACTACAAGCTGAGGCAACACAAAAACATTGGAACATCAACGGCCAGACTTAATTACATTATCAAGCCCAAACATTACGTCAGAAGTTAAGGCGATAAAAATACGTATTGATACGCACTCTTCAATGTATTCGATATCTTTGTTTGAGGTAAAAACTAGTACCTATTCCTTTCCATACCAATTCTGTACACAAATACTCATTGACCGTGCTTTTACAAAGTTCCAAAAATATAAGCGGTCTTATATAAACAAACTCAGCGCAAATGATTGGTCCTATACAAAAAGATAAGGGTTTAAGGCAGCTCTGCAAATAAAAATAGACTGCTTATTTTTATCTAGTCTGTAAAAAAAAAACAAAGTTATGATTCTACTTTATAGGCGTAGTTAGATAAGAACGAAAATATTTTTACTATTATAGGTTAACTGAAATATTTTTAGGTACTTTATTTTTATCTGCGTTATTCTACATAAAGTGGTTAAAACTGCTATACAAAGCCATTATTAGTTAGTGAGGATTAGTAGGGGATAAACGATAAGTGCTACCTCTAACATACTCAAAACATTTGTTTCTATTTAACAGTTGTTCACCGGCACGTATCCGAACTACACTCGGACAGTTCAAATCGCTAAGATCTCCTATTCCACCAAAAAAGTATGCTCTATAAAAACAACTGGAAAATACATGGACAACATAAAATGCTAGCTTAATATCAATTAAAATTATGTGTAAACAAAAAAACCTTTATCGTAAAAGAAAACGTAATTAATTGAAAGGTATTTAGGTAAATATTAGATTTACGTAGAGTCTTATCTAATTAATATATTTCTATAGATATCACGTAGGTTATATCGAGTTACGGCACACTTTTAGAGATCCATAATAAACAAATTCTTGTTTTTGTGTTTAAGGTATAACCTGTTGGGGAACCTCTAACTGTCGTAGCAAACCTTACGACTCAGAAAATGCTAATTGTAACTAAACGATTGTAGATGCAATCATGGTGACGTACTGCTGCCCGACTCGGAGAAGAAGTAAGAATGGAGTAGTTTTAGTCAGTAAGAGTCTGACACTGAACTATTTTGTTGTGCCCCACACAGCGCGGTACAAAAACACTTGTTGATTTTCCCAACTTAGAAAAGGAGTAAGTATAGAAAATGTGTTTTGTTTTAACATTAAAGAGAAACTAATATTTATTGAAATATCAATCATAGCAATATTCATCTTTTGTTTTTAGACTGATACACAACACAAGAGACACCACAATGAGTCTTCAACAGATGCGGAATTTCGAAATTCAAGAATATAACGAGATAGACACCTATCTCGTTATATTCTCCTGCAATGAATTTAGTAATAATTAAGAAGTTAAAGTTATCAAACAATTAGTATTGTGAAACAATTTGAAAACGACAAGGAAATATATAATGAAGATGGATCATAAATAAAATACAATTAAATATACGGAACAGCCAAAAATGGAACAAATTCGCGAGATATTACGAGAAGAACGATAAAATGAATAATCGGTTAAATCTCGTTTTGATAACAATTACAATATGGAGTAAGCTATAAAAATGTAGGCAATAACTTCTGATTTAGCAGTGCAGGGTGTGCCATATTCAAACATGCGTACAGTGTTAGTGCTCGCAGCCTTCTTGGCAGCAGCGGTGGCGTTGCCGACTGAAATACCGGAGCCCGGTCAGCTGGCTCTGGTTCTCGGCGAAGAAGACTTTGAAGATTATCTCGATGCTTGGCTGGAGCTTGAACAATCCAAGTCCGCCAATGCATCTACCGCCAACGCTGATGCCAGGAGTGGTAATACCCTTAACGTACCTTATTTCGTCTTTGGCCCCATTTCTTACATTCACGAAAATTTCATCATTAATTTGCTTGAAGACCCATAATTCTGTAGCTTCTACTTCTTTCATCCAGGTTGTACCATCAGAATAAACGGAGACCTAGGTCAGCCTCAGCCAGTATACCTCCGTGGTGGAAACAGGTACATGGCTGCTGATGGCAACTCAGGTCAAGTCCGTCTCAACACTGGTGAACAAGTCGTCATCGCTTGCACTGGCTCCGGAAGAACTATATTGCACCCAAACATCGCCGCCTCCAGGGACGTTGCTGTAAGTTTTTTTTAATGAGCAACACAACACTGTGACAAAACAAACGATTTATATATAGTAGGTAAAAAAACAGTTCAATCCTGTGTAACGAAAACACACAAATAAATATAAGTTCACTCGGAGAAACATCCTGGACACTGATAAAAGTTTGGATATCTACTTCGTGTTCTTTACATATTGATTTTATTTCTCACTTTCACTCGCAGACTGCAACGTGTGTAAACAACAACCTCGTCTCCGGTGCCGGTTGGTTGAATGGAAACGGAGCCTTTGGTCAGCTCACATGCTCCGCTCACGCTTTCCATGAGGCTCAAGCAACTTCCACTCGCTGCTGGAACAACAATATTGTTATTCGGTTAGTATTTTTTCACCATGAAATACGATCATAACATTAAGCATGCATTTTAACTTTTCTTCTTAATTCTCTCTATCTATTTGCTTTTGTTTCCAGTGTTGGTTTCATCGTCAACAATGTCTTCTACCCGCTTTACTGGTCTTGCTTCGACCAAAACCGCCTGGAAGTTATTTACGTTTGGTACGATCAGACTCCTGAAAATGCAGTTCACCAAACCGGCGTCGACAGACCCAGTTGGTTAGGTAATTCAAATTATTTATTTGCGCCAAAAAAGATGTTGGGAATTGAAAGTATGTTCTAATTAATTTTTCTTTATAGCTGGCAGTTTCTTCCCTGGTGTGGCCGTTAACACCATGTACACTCAAGTGAACCAGAAAGCTGTCGTCACCCAATATGTCGGAGCCGCCTTAGCTGACAAATACATCACCAGCCACCAGTTCATGGCTCGTGGTCATCTTGCTGCTAAGAGTGACTACGTCTTCGCTACTGGTCAAAGAGCTACTTTTTACTTCATCAACGCTGCTCCTCAGTGGCAGCCGTTCAATGCTGGTAACTGGAACTGGCTGGAGCAGGTGAGATATAGTTCCGGAATTGGGGTACAGGTATCTAAATTGTAACAAAGTCTTTATATGCATCTTCAAAATTCCAGAACCTCCGCGCTCGTATCGGTGCTGCTGGCTATAACACTGTCATCTACACTGGTACTTTCGGAATTTCCCAACTGCGTGATCAAAACAACCGTCTTGTCGACATCTACTTGGTTCCAGAACGTAACCAGATCCCAGTACCTTTATACTACTACAAGGTAAAAATCTTAACATCGACTGTATTCCAAAATAATATGATAATGTAAGTGATTTGGTAAATTAATAATTTTGTTTTTAAGGTTGTATACGATGCTGGCCGTCGTCTCGGCACAGCATTCGTGAGCATCAACAACCCTCACTACTCGGAGTCTGAGGTGCGTGCTCTGACCTTCTGCACGGATCGTTGCCGTAACAACAGCGCGTTCAGCTGGCTCAACTGGCAGCCTGACCGCATTGACATTGGATACAGCTTCTGCTGTACCGTCGATGACTTCAGAAGAACTGTTCCCCACCTTCCCGCCTTCACAACTAATGGACTCCTTGCTTAAGCATAAGATATTATTTGTCTACCTGTAAAACTGTACAAATGACTCAAAACACGTAAAAATATTATTGTAAATAAATTGTTTTTATAATAACTATCGTGAGACGTGAGGGGTTCTTCCTCATGAGCAGCGTGCGCGGACGCGGCGACGTCGCGCACGCTGCTCATGAGGAAGAACCCCTCTGTGGTTCGAAACTAGTAGAGCTTTTCTCATCATTTACACGTGAGTAACCCGCGAATTTTAGTTAATTTTGTAAATAAATTTTTATTTTATTCGTTTATTTTTTTGGTTTTGTTTCTTTGTTTCCGTACCTATATCGTTTAGGTTAATGTTATAATCTGATATGCTTACAATCTTATCATCATTTTTAATTATGAGTCAAGTAAAAATTGGGAGTAATCGATTATGATATTGGTGTTAATTGAAAAATTCGAGTCATTGATGAATAAAATGACTTTAATTTAGCAAAAATTAAATAGAAAATTTAATAAATCTCTAGGTAGGTTTTTGGTTTCATGGGCACCGATAGCAGAATGCAAAGAGGTTAAGAAAAGTTATGTCGTATTTTTAAGAAAAAATATATTGTTATAATATAGTTTATTAATATTTAACGAAAGTATGTGGGTTCCTACCATTTTGTTCGATAATTTTTGCCATCTTGTAGGCAGAGTCATGATCCCATTTCTATAGAAACTTTAGGACTTCTGATTAATACCGCCGCAAGTGTTTATGGCAATCCTTTGGTGATGTTGATCTGACCCTGCCTATAGAATTCTGAAATGTGAAAATCTGAAGGTGCAAGGTCAGGACTATACGGCGGATGTATTAACATCTCCCAGCCAAACACTTTTAATTTTTGCTGAGTGGCTAAAGATGTGTCAGGTCTTTCGTTATCATGATGAAATACATCCCTTCTTCGGTTTCGATTTATTCCAGACGCTTTCTCTCAACTTGCATATCTGGTCGTAATAGGTCATCATGAATTATGCCACACACACAGCATCACCTTGTGTGTGGTTTTTAACACTACAGTGAAGCATAACCGGCCTTTGACCACGACAATTTTCGCGCGCTCTTTTCGTAGGTACGTGAAGCACTTCTCATCACCAGTTAACAGCTTCTTCAAAAATAGTTCGCTTTCATTACGTCATAAAAATGAATCACAAATGAGTACACGGTTCATGAAGTTCTTTCGGTTAGCTCATGAAATCTAAATATATGTATCTATATGTATCTAAATATCGAGCTTTTTTGTGTACATAGTTTAATTCAAATGCGACAAAACTGTTTTGTTGTCAATTCTCTGTTATTCAGTTACGTTTTAACTACTGAAATGCTGCTCCAGTCGACCAGAACAACGTACATATGTAACATAAATATTTCTGGATTGAAAACGCTTATACCGAACTTGTGTTAATTTCACAGACACTGCACTAGGTCCATAAACATCGCAATTTTATTTGCGTCTCGTCTTCGAAATAAATTTCTTCATTAGTTTCACTCATACAAAAGAAATTAAAAAATAAACATTTTCTTTTTCTTAATTTGAATTTAGATTTTTTAAATTTAAGCTTTCAATGATACCAAACCTAGCCAACAAAATAGCCAAAGAGATTTTGTTATTTCAAGTTCAAATATACTATAATGCAAAGAGACTTCTCTTTTAGTTATTTTATTACCATTTAAAACATACAGGATAAAACATTGATATACACAGCATTCATAAACTACAAAAGTTCGCACATATTGCTATTGCTTTGTCTACATCAAGATATTTTAGATATAATAATAACCTAATTTAACACAAAAATGTTATTTTAAATGTCTCAAGAAAGCTATAATACGTTTTATTAATTCGCATCGTGTTCTCTGCACTTATCACGATGTAACTGTTTATTTTTATTTTTAATTATCTGTTCTGTTCTGTTGTTCTCCGAGTGCCCAAAAAAGCTACAAGTTATGCTACAACAGTTATTGGATCAGAGCTGCTAAGTTGCATTTGCAGAGTTGCAAATGACAGAGAAAAATGGAAATCTTTTTAGGAGGCGAATGTCGAAATACAAGCTGTTGCAAAAATTTATAACCCGAACAAACGAACGAACATACGCAAGTCAATCAAACGTTTAGTTATAATTCGACTAGCTTTTGCCCGGGACTCTGTTCGCGTGGAATCGACTTCCTGAAGATTTTTGGTTTAAAAACTATTTTATGTCCTTTTTCAAATACCAAACTATCTGTGTACCAACTTTCAATCAAATAGGTTCAGTAGTTTAGGCGTGAAGAAAAGCCAGACAGACAGAGTTACTTTCGCATTCATAATATTAGTTTGGATTAAGTTATAGTAAACATTATGTTTACAGCAATAAAGGCTAATTTTATCGTATTTTTAATTTTTTTGTACTGAAATTAAGATACCTAAATAACCGTAGAATCATAAACAGGAAAATAAATAAATGAAAACCAAAAACACAAAACATAAAAAAATACTTGGTAATCAAAGACCAAATCAAAGATTTAATATCAAAAACACAGATTGTTGAAAAAGAGTAAGGACCACCAGCTAGTATTTTATCTTGATAATCTTGTAAAAGTATCCAAAAATCTTTAAACGTATAAAACAGATAAGAAAAGCCGTTTTATTGAAGTTTTCGAAAATAATTACACTCAATGAACACGCGTGCATGTTTTACTTTTATCTTTATACGGACGTCATGATGGTAGTTCAAAAACTTAGAGATCCTTAAAATTCATTTTTTGTTTCAGTATTTTGTTGGAAAACCTATCGTAGTACTTGTTGTTTTGCAACTTAGCTTTATCAGAGGCGGTCAGAGGAGGGATCCTGAAACTTTAAGAACGTTATATAGTACCTACTTCATTCTATATTCTAATAAAATGTTGTACTGCTAAAATTTACTTCGCTGTACCCGACAGATCCAAAAATGATTCCATGTCTAAAATACCAACTGTATTTATGTAGACGTTATGGCATGTAATAAGTATTGAGTATATTTGTAATTATGGGTTTCAGTCCAGTGGTTCAATCAATTTAACGTAATACCCAAGATAATTTAGGTACCTATGCAGCTTTCACGTAAGCTCTTAAGCGAGTTTCTATCACAGAAATCAAATAAAAATAGAAAAAAAAAACTTACAAATTATTACAAACGATTACAAAATATGCTACGGAACATTAATTTTTTGGAAAGATTAAAAAAATATATCAATCAACGTTTTTGATAAAGTGGACAGAATAGAATAGGAATGATAATACTGTCATTAATTTGAGGATTGCTATAAATTAGTAGACATGATTAGTGATAGCTGTAGTGTAGTGTGGAGCTTCCGAAAAGATGCGGACAGTGTTAGTGCTAGCAGCAGTTTTGGCCGCGGTGACGGCGTTGCCGACTGAAATACCGGAGCCTGGTCAGCTGGCTCTGGTTCTCGGCGAAGAAGACTTTGAAGATTATCTCGATGCTTGGCTAGAGCTTGAACAATCCAAGTCCGCCAATGCATCGATTGAGGCCGCCCCCCGCAGTGGTAATTACGAATTAAATTGAATTAAAAAATACAGAAATTTGAACTGGACTAGTTTTTTCAGAATTGCTGCAAATTGACTTGTCATTCAATTTAAATTCTTTTGTGAAATACGTTCATATTTTAAATGTCTTCATTTTATAGTAGATAATATAAATCCATATAATCATATTGCAATCAATTTCCTGTTCCTGTGCTTACCAAAGGTAATCGATGGGTAAAATTTCGCATAGTTTTAAAACATTAAGTAGTTGTTATACTGTGAAATTTAATCTTTACGTAGGCTGCACATTCAGAGTGAATGGAGATCTTGGACAGCCTCAACCGGTGTATCTCCGAGGCAACAGATACTTGGCTGCCAATGGCAACTCTGGACAAATCCGTCTCAACACTGGTGAACAAGTTGTGATTGCTTGTACTGGGTCTGGAAGATCTATTCGTCATCCTAATATTGCGGCTACACGAGATGTTGCTGTGAGTTTTGCATATAGGATACAAATTTTGGATAAAATAAATTATTTAGATCATGATAATGTTTCTGTTACTTCTTCCAGACAGCGACCTGTGTAAGTAACAATCTAGTATCAGGTGCTGGATGGCTGAATGGAAATGGAGCATTTGGTCAGCTGACTTGCTCTGCACACGCTCACCATGAAGCCCAAGGGACTTCCACTCGATGCTGGAATAACAATATGGTTATTCGGTGGGTCAATATTAATTAATTACCTTTTAAATAAATTTTATTTTAAGGCCTCGTTTATGCAGCTCGTCGTGCGGTTCGTTATACATTACTCATAATGTTCAAATGTTTGTGTTTGAGCGTGCGATGCAGTGCAATGCACGATATATAAAAACGGTCACGCGCCACATTACGATTCCTTCAACGAGTTCTAAGTCTTGATTTCATGTAATAACATATCGTTCTTTAATTTCCAGTGTGGGTTTCATCGTTAACAATGTTTTCCACCCCCTTTATTGGTCTTGCTTCAACCAAAACCGCATGGAAGTTTTGTACGTCTGGTACGACCAAACCCCTGCGAATGCTGTCCATCAATCAGGCGTCGACAGACCTAGTTGGTTAGGTAATTTAAATTTAATTGTTATGAAGTTTTCGTATTTATTTTGTAGTTTAGCTATATAATAGTTTTGGAGTTTGTTCATTTATGATTTTCTTTAATTATTTTAGCTGGAAGCTTTTTCCCCGGTGTTGCTGTCAATACTATGTACACGCAAGCCAACCAGAAGACAGTTGTAACTCGTTATGTTGGAGCTACTTTGGCTGACAGATACATCACCAGCCACCAGTTTATGGCTCGTGGTCATCTTGCTGCTAAGAGTGACTACGTCTTCGCTACTGGTCAAAGAGCTACTTTCTACTTCATCAACGCTGCTCCTCAGTGGCAGCCATTCAATGCTGGTAACTGGAACTGGCTGGAGCAGGTACATTTTGTGAAAGTTTTATGACATGCCAGTAACCTTTTTAGTCTGTAATATTAATGATTTGAAATTGTAGAACCTCCGCGCTCGTATTGGAGCTGCCGGCTACAACACCGTTATCTACACTGGAACTTTCGGCGTGACCCAGCTGCGTGACCAGAACAACCGCTTTGTCGACATCTACTTGGTACCTGAACGCAACCAGATCCCTGTACCACTTTACTTCTATAAGGTAAATTTTGGCATTTAGGATAAATGATCATTTTTGCGTTTCTTTGAATTAATATGAGATAATTTTGGAATGTTCAGGTGGTGTACGACTCGTCTCGGCGCATCGGAACAGCATTCGTGAGCATTAACAACCCTTACTACACGTTGGCGGAGTGTCGCGCTCGTCAGTTCTGCACGGACCGCTGCCGCAACAACAGTGCGTTCAACTGGCTCCGTTGGCAGCCTGACCGCATCGATCTCGGCTACAGTTTCTGCTGCACTGTCGACGACTTCAGAAGGACTATTCCTCATCTGCCCTCTTTCACCACCAATGGACTCCTCTCATAATCTAGTCTTACCTTAATATTATATTATATATTATACTTTTGATATAAATGAACTTGACAAATCTAATATTGTTTTAGAAATATATACTATCTAAAAAAACAAATTTATTTCATTTGCGGATGTCCATGGCCAAAATAAAACTCTACAGCAAACGTACAACATAGTGTTTCTCTAAACAAATAAAAGAAAAAAGAACCATAATGGCTTCACAATTTTGAGTCAGATTTAACTACCACCACAGAGTCTGGGTCCAATGAATTTTTCCATTCCGGTGAAAATCACCAGATTTCACAAAAAAAAATATTGGTTTATTGGTGCGGCCAACCTTTCTAAGAAATATATACCTTTAAATCGTTCGTCTTCCACTTGTGTTGCCTTGCGTTCAAGCCGTATCAATTCACGAGGGTGCGGATAAAGAAAGTATCTAAGCCCACCTATTCACCAAAATCGGGTACAGTTGGCTAATTTCTGTTTGAGACCGACATTCAAATTTCTAATCGATAAGACAAGTTATGCATTGAATTGTATGAACATTTATGCAAATGTAAGGGAGAGAAACGAAATCATCGAATGCTCAGATAATAATAAACTATATTGGGGAATAATACGGGATTATATGTTGACTAGCAACCCGCCCCGTCTTCGCACGGGAACAATTCTGATATTTAATTTCTACACTATGCATACAAACTTGCCTCGTCAATTGCTCTATTAATTCTACAAACCGTTGCGTAGTTTTAAAGATTTAAGCATGAATAGGGACAGACAAAACGACTTTCTTTCACCTACCTAGTGATTTATTATTTCTAATATACATTTGATGCACAGTACATAATTGGGCTACACTTTTCAATAAAAGAGGAAACTTACATCGCTAAATATATGATACAACTTACATATCACTACACAACAATGTAGTGTCCTGTGACTTTCATCAGGCTGTCTCTTGTACTCTGGGGGAAAACGTTCTATGCTGGGCTTGACGGTACGTGGGTGCAGGTCTCTTCCAACCTTTGAAATCTTTGGGAGAGGCTTATGTTCATCAGTCTTTTGAATGAAGTCATTTAGTGGTTTCTGTTATCTGTGGGCACAGCAGTGCCCCAGCCAAGTCTCGAGCAAAACAGGCACGGCCGTACCATCCTGTTCTCGAAGCGTTTCGCGGCTATTTAAACCCCTCTGTATCATCGATACGGACAAATCTATGGATTAGGGTAGCTCATTGGCTAAGTCACTGTTCATCAAAACAGAATAATCACAAAATATTAATTAATCTATTATTACAAATTAAGTTGGACAGTACTTGGCTTAACTGTAAGATCTCAAAACTTTTTACGATGCCAGAATGCCGTATAGTACTTGGTTCTTTTCACATTGAATGTTTTTGTTGGGTTGAAATTATTAAGACTTTACTACACTAAAGAGGAGTGTGTCATAGAATTAAAATGTTTTTTTTTTAAAACGTTGCCCCACATTAGGATTTTCTCCTGTGTCGTGGGGGCTGTTACAAACATACAATTTCACATACACAAGACACCCAGACCCGGAACAACAATTTGTGGATCACACAAAGAGTTGTTCCGTGCGGGAATCGAACCCGCGACACGTTGCACGGCAGCCAGTTGCCCAGCCATCGCACCATCCGTGCAGTCAAAATTGAATGTTGATTGAATTGATTGAATGTTCATTTTTATCTTTCGACAGATTTGTGTAAGTATTGTCTTCACATTATAGCATCGAATAAGCACACATGCATGGATTTTGTCTTATCTAATTAATATCTGTGAATCATGAAGTTTAGGTAATCAAAATTAACTGTTAATTATTTATCGAATTAAAAAAATAATGGCACGATGTTTAGAGATCACGTAAAGTAAATATAAAACATGTATTCTGATAATAATATGAGCCTTCATTCAGACAAATTACAACATCACATCCGAGTTATATTAGCTTTCTAAGATAATTTATACACCACTGTCACACGGTTAAAATCGCCAATCCACCTTGACCAAGCGGTGTGATTAATGCTCAAACCTTCTCCTAAGGAAAGTAGGTCTTCGCTCAGCTGTGGGCAGTTATTGGGTGGTGCCTGATGATGATGATGATTTAGAATGATACCTAGATACACAGCCACTGCTTTCAAAAAAATCAAAATGAAATAAAAAGCTTATAATAGAAATAATTGTAATAATAGAATAAGCTTATAATATACATAGTGAATTTAATATGGGAGAGCCATGCATCGGTATATAGGGTAGGCTTGAAAGGAGTGATACGACGGTCTGAAAGTAGCAATGAGTTTTGTCGCGTTAGTGAGGTTTCCGGAGGTCCAATTCTTCTTGCCCCAATCTTAAATATCCGAAACCCCTAATTCCCAAGAGGCCGGCAACGCACACGTAACTCTTTTGGGGTTGAGGGGGTCCATGGGCAGCGCTGATTACTTACCATCAGGTAAAAGGATTGCTCGTTTGCTGTCCTATCACATAAAAAAAGTTAATATTTTGACTACAAGATTTAAAATGGACTTCACCTACGGAACTTGAAATAATGTTAATGATATTTTTGGCAAAAGTGATAAGAATACTTAATCGGTTAAGTCTTTTCTGATAAAACTGACAATATGAACAAAGATAGATAATAATTTATTGAACATCAACCTGAAGACTACTATAAAACAGTAGACATGATTATTACTATCGGTAGTGCAGAGTGAGGCATCTTCAAAGATGCGTACAGTGTTAGTGCTAGTAGCTGTCGTGGCCGCTGTGACGGCGTTGCCGACTGAAATACCAGAGCCGGCGCAACTGGCTTTGGTTCTCGGCGAAGAAGAGTTTGAAGACTATCTTGATGCTTGGCTAGAGCTTGAACAGAACCGAGCTGCTAATTATTCTAATGTTGAAGCTGGTCCTAGAAGCGGTAAAAACCTCTTCCAGTATCAGCAAAATGTGCAAATATTTTATAAAGCATAGTAATCAACATTTTTAACGTTTAATAAAATTCCCCATGTAGGATGTACGTTCAGAGTAAATGGTGATCTCGGTCAACCACAGCCGGTGTACATCCGAGGCAACAGATTTATGGCTCCCAACGGCAACACTGGTCAAATTCGTCTCAACACTGGTGAACAAGTAGTGATTGCTTGTACAGGCTCCGGAAGAGCTATTCGACATCCTAATATTGCTGCTTCAAGGAATGTTGCAGTAAGTCTTGATCGCAACTTTACCTTATTCGTTGACAATCATACAAAGCAGTTGAAGAAGTTACTTTCTGAAGATGAATATTTGAAGATTATAAAAATATTATATTTTTCGTGTCTGTATTTAGACAGCAACCTGTGTGAGCAACAACCTCGTCTCCGGTGCTGGTTGGTTGAATGGGAACGGAGCTTTTGGTCAGCTTACATGTTCAGCACACTCAAACGAAGAGGCTCAATGGACTAGCACGCGTTGCTGGAATAACAATTTGGTTATTCGGTTAGTAACTGGTGGTAGCTTGAGTGTTATTACTAATGCGTTTTGAACAATATTGGTCTGATTTTATATAATCCTGGGATTTTATTTCTTTGTCTTCAGTGTCGGTTTCATCGTCAACAATGTTTTCTACCCACTGTACTGGTCTTGTTTCAACCAAAATCGTCTAGAAGTATTGTATGTCTGGTATGATCAGACTCGTGAGAATGCTGTTCACCAAACTGGCGTAGACAGACCTAACTGGCAAGGTGCGAAAACGATAATTCTCTTACGCAATACTTTCTATTCTAAAGTGATAATTTTATCTTTATGGGTTGTTTTTCCAGCTGGAAACTTCTTTCCCGGTGTTGCTGTCAACACCATGTATACTCAAAACAACCAGCGGACTGTCGTTACGCGATATGTTGGAGCGAATTTAGCTAACCGCTATATTACTAACCACCAGTTTATGTCTCGTGGTCATCTTGCTGCTAAGAGTGACTACGTCTTCGCTACCGGTCAAAGAGCCACTTTCTACTTCATCAACGCTGCTCCTCAATGGCAGCCATTCAATGCTGGTAACTGGAACTCACTGGAACAGGTAGGTTCTTAGACAGTGGCGACGAGATAGTCATGTTTTTTGATCTAGTCTATATTTTTTGATCAAAATTTCGAACCCCAGAACCTCCGCGCTCGTATTGGAGCTGCCGGCTACAACACCGTTATCTACACTGGAACTTTCGGCGTGACCCAGCTGCGTGACCAGAACAACCGCTTTGTCGACATCTACTTGGTACCTGAACGCAACCAGATCCCTGTACCACTTTACTTCTACAAGGTGACTAAAATTGTTGATAAAATTAAAATACCCATATTTAAGTTGTTTTGAAATGATGAACTAACGTTATTTAAATTATTTAGGTGGCATATGATGCATCTCGGAGACTCGGTACTGCATTCATTAGTATTAACAACCCTTACTACACGTTGGCGGAGTGTCGCGCTCGTCAGTTCTGCACGGACCGCTGCCGCAACAACAGTGCGTTCAACTGGCTCCGTTGGCAGCCTGACCGCATCGACATCGGATACAGTTTCTGCTGCACCGTCGATGACTTCAGAAGAACTATTCCTCACCTGCCTTCTTTCTCAACCAATGGACTTCTAACATAAACCGCTACAACAATGACTTCTACTCTATTTTACTACGTGCGTTAAATAAAGAGAGAAAGAGACAGAGAGAAAAACAAATGAAATAAAAATGAATGAAATGATTATGATCAGTATTTCACAATTATTGCGCTTTGTAAAATTAATCCTCATTTCAAAATTATTATCACGATACAGATAAGTGTACCTAATTAACATTGGGAATTAACAAAATATAAGTAAAACTGTATATCTAGAGGTATAGGTATATAAATCCTTAAAGACTTATTAAAATGTAATTAAGGATGTTTTTTACAATATGACGTTATAATATAGTAGGTATTTGCTTTACTAGTATTTTTGTATTATACTCTCTGTCAGCTGCGCAACGAAATTACGTCTAGTCATATTTTCGTCATGTACTAGCAGTAAAGAATATTACCAAAGTCTTTGAAAATTAATATTTAAGATGCTCAAAATATGTAGTCCTTTCGACCATTTCAATGTCGCATACGTGTTTTTATTTCATCCCATTCGCTGTCTTGCTGCGAACATGCTACGTGAGTCTCACATTGGTCGCGCGTGACTTCATTGGCCTGTCATTTTGTATGAGTTTTGCGATTTATGTTTCCACGAAACATGCTCGAATGTTATCTCTCTTTGTAGCTTCGAGTTTACCTTTACATAATTTATCAATTTCTGTCTCGTTGTTTTTATAGTCTACTGGCCACGGGGTCTAATGTTTGAATCAGAAAATCACGAGCATTTATAACTCTAAAAGAATATTTTAGCATGTATTTACCTAATACGAGACAAATTGTTTATTGCGCACTTGGATGGCATTTCTGACATTGTAAGAAGAAGTGAAAGAAAATCTGCCTTTGTGTCTGAAAGTCAGAGGAAGACCTCGCTCCTTCGCAGTGAGTAAAATGCTAAACGCAGGATAAAGATACCGTAACGAAATTTCGCACGGCTGTTACTTTTACGAGTCGAGCAGGCACGATTAAATGATGGTGTATAGCAACACATACGAAGTTAGCAAACTACACCTTACACGTGCGTTTTATTCGACGTTCCCAGATATTCCCAACCTTATCTAATAACCAGTCCATAAACCTGGCGAAATAAAAATGTAGTAAAGTCGAATATTGTGCGTGATACTGACACAAAAGAGCAGAGAGGATTTAGGAAACTATATTGAACAATATTTTAGGGCTCGTCCCTATTCTTTCGAAACGAGCTTCGGAACGTATAAATAAGATTCTTGGTAAATATTGTTCACTAATTGAGAGGATCGGCAGTACTTTTAGCGTTCTGCCGAATATCAAGCTACTTTATAAGAACATATAAGTAGTTGAAAGTATTGTTTTACTCTACTCTGGTTGCTTTGCTACCCACTTTATGGATATACATACCGGAAATTTGTACGTTTAGTTGCGATTGAGTTTTTGAATAATCAATCTCAAATGCAAAACATCCTTAGAGATGCTGTTGAAATTTTAATTAAACAATAAGGCAGTAAAGAGCTATATTACGCGGCATGGTATTTTAGAAAAAAAATTAGGTTTAAAAAATATTGAAACTTTTATTCGACCGGATTTTAATTAAACTTGGTATGCATACGTAATAATATCAAGGTCTGAAAAGTAAACCACCTCACAAACATTTTTGAAAAGTAGTTTTTGGTAAAGAAAAAGACAGTTTTATTAAAATATTTATACATAATATATACATAAAAACTTTAAATTTTAAATATACAATTAATTAGAAGACACAATTAACAATTAACTAAATCATATCTTAATATATCGTTTAAGGTATACTCTGAGGCACACTTAATAAGTTTCGTGTAATTTTCCATTAAGCTCAAGTAATGGCTATACAAAATAAATCAACTAAGAAACAACAAAGTAACATACATATTCAATGTTTGAAGGTCTAATGGTTCTATGTAAGGTGCTTAAATCCCAAACTGATACAACTTTGTTGGTATTCCAAGTTAAAGTTTTAGTTGTGTTGAATTATAAATAAATCGCTGAGTGTTCGTAGGTACGAAAAGCGCAGGTCCAATAAAAAGGTTTTTATTACCTCTATAGAGTCAGTGAAATGCAAAGTAGCACGGAAAAAGGCTTTAAGCTTTGTCCCAAAGGGTCTTAAATTACATAAGGTCGTTCAATGCATTTACATACTCAAATATACAGAGACGTGCAGACTGTTTATTTGAAGCTAAGTAGTTAAAGCCATTTGTTATTTATTGGACTTGAACTCGGTTTTTTTTTGTTTATCGTTAGATTTTTTGGAGAAATAGTGCGTTATACATATAAGTTAGGAAGTTTTATGTTTATACGAGTACAATAGAGTTACATTTAAATTGTAATAAAGAATCAATTATTATAGAGATGGATGATTTTACTGCACAGTTCGTGCAGTGGCTGGAAAACTGGTTGCAGGGTAAGGTGTCGCGATAGGTTTTCGATCCCGGAACAACTCCTTGTATCCGCAAATTGTTTTTCCGTGTCTGGGTGTGGTGTGTGCGAAACTTTATTTTTTTGTTTACACGTATTTACGATATAGTGTGGGGCAATATAAAAAAAAGTCATTTATATAACTCTCAAACGCTTACATTTATTCAGTACAGATCGGTGAAAATTTGTAAAATGCTGCATAACAGGGTTGTTGTTGTTAACTGAAAAAAAAAATCATTTAAACTTCTTAGTAATCGCAACAAGCATACTTACATTCATTGATTTGATAAGGAATATGTAATACTTGCATTTTTTCTAATATTTTTTTAAGAAATTTGTTTTATTTTGAATTTTGCCACAACACACTTTCCTGAATGAAAATTGTCGTTTTGAAATTACATAAAAGTATTCAATTTAACTAGTCGGCAACTCCCGTATTTGATAAACTTTGACTGACTTGAATTTGTTGGATTGAACTTGTCAAAATTAACTTGAACTTTGTTACAAACGGTTGACGTAGCAATGTTGCTACGCGCGATTACGCAGGCTACGCTGGCGTAGCTATGCGTAGTAGGTAATATATTATGCTAATGTTTAATAATAGAAAATATTTCATTTGTTTATGAACATAATAATTATTATATTTATGTGCGATATCAATAGAACTATATTAAAATACAATTTAATTTTAATAATATCTTTGAAGTGTCCATTATATCGTTACAAAACTGAGAAATATTGCTTAATTTTTGGACGGTCTTGCTAGGTTCGCAATTTCTTTCTTCGAAACTTAATAGATATTAGGGAAGGTAGTTTTGTGTAATCTTCTTCTATAATAAAATTATTAATTGCGAAATGTGTTGCCAAGCGCAAATCTCGAGAACAGCTGTATCGAATTCTTATTAGATTTTTGTTTTGCTTGTAATTTTTTTTATGTGATAGAACGGCAAGCGAGCTACCTGATTATCTAATGGTAAGCAATCAGTGCCGCGCATGGACACCCGAAGAGTTAAGAGTATGTTGTCGGCCTTTTTAGAGATTATAACATTTAATTAGAAATATTTTAGCTTTTATGTATACAATATCTATCATTCAATAGCTTAGTTTATAGACTCATTGACCCCACAGTCAAACCATTGCAATGGTTTTGTGGGGCTTCTAATTTACTTACCATTGTTATATACATATAAAAACAAAAAGGCAAATAATTTAATTGCAGTTTTGGTTTTGCATTTAATACAAAACTGTAAGCTCCACGTATACTCCACGGATTCGCCTTCAACAGTTTTCTGTCAGCATTCAAAGGCTTAATTTAAATATAAACAGCCTACCAGAGAGACGTCGTACTGCTACTTGCAGCATCACTTCTTTAAAAATCTAATTTCAGATTGACTCTATTTCAAGACAGTTTAATCGTTCAGGATTTCAATAATATACAGACAACTTTAACGTTTAATATATTAAACATAAGTCTTGTATTGTAAACAAATAATATTATAAACCTGGAAAGAAAAAATAAAACACAAATTAGGTCGTACTTTATTTATTGTTCTTTCAGTGTACTTGATTTTAATAATTTTATTTAAAATAGTGACTTTATTGAGTGCAAAAATAAGTATCATGTACTTACATTGAAATTAGTGCTCTCAAAATTCTAATTATACTTATAACCATTTAATTTTCAATAATTTACGTAATTAATATCCAGTTTGTTACTACAGAGTAATTGAATAAGTAGATAGTGTTGTTACGCACACTTCGTAAGAGTACCTACTTATATAGATCATTATGTTGCTTGGTAGACTATTTGAAAAAGGCTATATTTACGTAGGTAATATACTGGTACAAGGATTTACAATAAGTTAATATATTATTGCACATTATTTACATATGTATGTAATAACTATGAGGTAGAAGGATTATATTGTAAATTGATTTAAAGCTTAGATAATGGAGTAATATCTAGATATATGGATCTTGTATAGAGTAGGTGTGTATTAATTGAGCAAATCTCTATTATTTATTAGCTAACATGTAGCGTAAGTGGGTAAATGGAGTGGGTCTTAATACGGATTAAGTATATATGAGCTGACGCACGATGCATTTAATCTCCGCAGCAAAAGGTTGCAGTGGAGGAGAAATGTTGCGGCTTATCGAAAAAATCTTCAGGACCTTCGTTATCCATATTGTATGACAGAGTGTATCTATTTATTTTCTCCTTTATTCATGATATATGTTATAGAAAACCATTATTTTCTCTGGCAATAATAATATATATGTATATTGTGTACTTAGATACACTCAGTTTTTTGCTATATATAAGTTTTATTGTAATACGGCGCACATAAAGTGCAGAACCCTGAAATAATGTTTATCTAAGTTATTATTATTTTGGCTATCCTTGGCAGAAATCATTAGGTAACATATTTACAGAATCCGATTAGTACCCCGGAACAATTACATTTATAACTTCGCTAAATCATTTATACAGCAGAACAATCTAATGTGTTCGTTAGTGAAATAAAGAGGGTTCTTGGCAAACTCGGGAGGTGAATTAGGAGGAAACGACATTAGCTATTAATCATTTAATTAACCTCACAGTGAGTACATACATATTGATCAGTGCCCTTATACACTCTCGCTTCACGTCGCAGCTGCCAATTTATACAAGATTGTGTCTTTTACATAATATACCATAAGTTTATTAGATTAAAATACATTTTACCTTAATAAGTACACGCGTTAAAGGAACTTGAATAGACCACATGACGTGTGCTCGGTGGTAAGCTGTTGTCATTTATTCGGAATTAATTTGTCTTTAGGTGCAGGTAAGAGCTTCACTAAGCGAAATGGATCAATATAAATGTTAACACGTAAAACTACGTAAGAAATTATTATTCATATAAAGATACTTCGCGTTGAAACAGCACAGCATAGAATCTCAGGGGTCTATTCTATTTACATATTATTACGCTGAAAAAAAGTTCAAAAATGCGAGTTTGATCGCTTGGTAGGGGTTCCGTTTCATGTGTGTGGTGAACAAATTTTTTTCTAACAAAAACAGTGTTGTTCGATGTGAAAGTAATGATGTAGGCAACACAACAAGACCTACATATTTTTATATAGGTAGTATTTCAGAATTTTTACGAGAATTTAAAAGTGTTAGCTCAAATAACAAGCCATAACAGGTTTAGACTTCATTTGACTATTGACAGTCGAAAAAAGTTGACTACCATACAAAAAATATTCATTGACAAAATTTATAAAACTAATGCTTAATTTATTATAGTTTCCACGAAAACGAAACCCCAAAACCAAGCTTGTCATAAAGATAAGAAAGTATACTTATTATATTATCCAAATTTAATTAAATAGCTCGACCATACTTTGTTAATACTCACAAGATAACAATAATAATAAAATTTCAAACACAATGAAAGACGAAGTAAAAATAGGTACATAAAACATATAAAGACATAGGTATCAGAGAATGGAATGCTGTATGCTTAGGGAAATAGTTCAAACTTAATACAAACTTTAATTACATTGGTTTTACTAATCGTACAATAATTTAATATAAATATGGCTACAATAACAGAGGATACTTAGTATGTTATACTTGTATCAACACAACCTGTAATAGAATTATTGTGATTTGTTCTCTCAAAGAATGTTTGCCACGTATTAACCTCGGCCGGCTTCCCAACATTGATAAAGACTAAATTCGGTTGAGAAGTCGCGAATTTCTTTAATAACTTTTCAACCTTATCTGCTTATAATAAAGTTAAAAATCGATTATTGGAATGGTTGACTGAGCGACCGATTTTTGTCATTACCAATGTAGGAGCGCTGTCCCAGGCTTGTCTCGGCATCGGAGTCTACTCGGCATCTATAAGCCGAAGTCACGTAAGTTATTATACAGATTTAATTGCTGGAACTATTCACTATACAAGGCGATACCGTTTGTGAAGATTTTAAGAATCTGTCATTAACTTACAAACCACAATCTGCTCTCGAAGAGACAGACAAGCTTAAAACATTTGAGTTTCTTCAGGAACGAAGGTATATCTGTTGATTGTCATACGCAAAATTTCTCACCTTGTATGCTGACGATAAGTAGAAGGCATATAAAGGTTCAGCATGAAAAAATATGCAACACAGGTAAAACAGTGGGTTTCCCTCATAAATCTAGTAAATATTCGATCCAAAAGCAGCCCTTACCTTAGAGCTCAAAATGTTTAACCTAGTGATATTCATTTCCCTTCTTAGACAGAACTTGGTCATGAGATAATACTAGACTAATCGTGTAAAGAGTCACACTTTATACTACTTGAATGAAGGCCTCCAATACGGTATGTACAAGACTAAGTATAATAATATCTCATAGGAAAAGTATCACTAACGATTTAAAGATTAAACTGACGCCCACAAATAGGCTCTATCATTATAATATCTCACTTTTAAATATTAATATTATTAAGACGTAACGCTCGTAGATTATAATTAACTATCTAACCAATGCGACATCGATTAATCTTATGTTATTGAAGAGCTCGACGGCTCCAGGGGAAAGGACTGGCGATCTCAGCGGAGTTACTCGCAACGCGAATGCAATAAGCCCGAAGGGATAGTCAACTCTTCAAAACAACGAGTTAATTATCTACGTAATATTACGGTAAATATCAAAAACGTCTATCTACAATCACAAATTAAGAAACTCACAAAACAGTGTTAAGTATAATGTTGCATATCGTTTCACTTACGATATAAATGAACTTACATTTTTACATTACGACCAAAATTCTCACAGCTTTGTCTTTCATTGTTCGCTTGTCAGCGAGTAGTACGAGTAAATTCGATAAACACTAAACTATTAGGTACATCTACTAGTAGAGGTATTGGCGTAATAGACATAAACAACACTTAGCGATCCAAACTCGTACAAACGCACAAATCATTCAGGAGATAGACGATAATAAATAACAATTGGACGCGGCGCGGCGGCCGGCGGCCGGCGGCCCGGGTCCGGTCCGGGGCCGGCTCGCCTCTACCAACATTACAAGCTACACGATCCACAAGTGAGTGCACTTAGCTCCATAGTAACGCATTATGGGACAATAAACAAGTTAAACTATATTACATACTCAACTCTTCATTATTAGGACATACTGAAATAAGAATTACACCGTAATACGGATACATACAAGTACTGAGATCATAATATATACGACACCGATTTTATCAGTGTCATACAACTCAGTAGTGTTAATTTAGCCTTAGAAGTTAAACCATTATTGCCGAAGACAATAACAAGAATAATATTAGGACACTTATACAAGAAATATTGCATCAAAAACAATTCTATAATACATATAATATATAACAGTATTTAAGTATTTAGGCCTAATGTTCGAGTAAACAGTATAGCTTTATCAAAATAACTTAGTCACATTGGTGTAAATACGTAAAACAAATGTAATGACTTGCAACACAACATTGTACTATCACAACTGTACTCATTGGGGTCTACAGAGGCATTCATAAGATGAATAAATCGCATAGGTAATGTTCACATTATCATAAAGACTTATCATTCCGTAGAGTAAGAGTAAGTTAAGGTCCCATGGATTCATAATTGAAGTAATTTATAAGGAAATCTGGAAAGGCGATTCGTCAGTAAAGCGATGTAAAATTTATTCTAAAATATACAAGTACTTAGAAAGGTTCCTTTGACAGAACACAAAAGGTCGACAGCGTGAATGTATCCCTCGGTATTATCTTCTTTATGTTTGGCCCACACTGCTAACGTGTTCAGCTATCGGACTGATTTTACATAAGGGGCCTGTTCCCTAATATTTTACGAACGTTTTGTTTATTTTGTTTGTGTTTTGAATCGGAAGATGTTTTTAAACACGGGTCTTGTATGAGCTGAAGCATAAGTTTCTGTCGGAGGGAAACATTAATCACACTTTAGTCCCAAGCTAGCTGCATTCACAATTTGTGAGAGCTATCACGTTCCGTATAACATTTCAGGTCGCTGTTTCTCATTTTTGTATTCACATGGAAGTGCGGGATACATTCCACTGTCTTGTTGTTTGTACAACACACGGGAAAGGCACACACTTTTTACTTCAGAGCTGTTTCATAGATCATGAAAACACTCACTCCTTTAAATAGAAAAGAGAAAATATTGAAACAAAATGCGTAAAGATTCACCTTATAAGTGTTTATTCTAAATTCATACTTAATTACAACTATAAATGTTACAGTAAAGATATCAAGGGAAATTTTTAACAACATTTATGAATTAAATTTCAAAAGCTCGTTATCATAATATTGCTTCGTCCTGTTTCACAATACTCGGATACGTACTATCTAGCAGAATAATCCCAATTTGGAAGTGGATTTATTTGAAATCATCTGCCAGATAATATATCATACGATGTGGTCATCAACTCGCGCATAACAATAATAATTAGCATGTTTCGTAATCTAATTTACCTGTAACATTTACAGCGACTAAATTCAATAAATTAATAGAATATATTATAATAATTTATGACGAAAATATAATTATGATTAAAGTTAAAAATTTTCAATTATTATTATTTTATTAATGAAATGTTTTTATTATAATCCTACACCAGATCTGATTATCACTTCGGTGTTTCGAACAATATTCTTCAGTCATTTTCACTATATCACTAGTTCGCTAGTGCGACTTATCTCGATAGTTTCCAGCCACGCCGGGAATGCGGACAATGTGTTCGACTGATTAAACGGCTGTTTCTAAATCTTCAGACACTAATTGGAAATGTTCCTGACCTGAAAAGGGATATAATTTTTATTTGTATAGAACCCAAATAGTACTGGTTAGGGTAGTATTTACGTTGAAACTTAACCACCATATTTGTTCAATGAAATTTTTTCTTTAAAATTATTGATGAGTAATTAATTTATCAGTGTGTTTTTTTTGTGTAAAATAGATTTTACACTGGAAATGAGTTAAGGGTAGTTTCTACCCGAAAACTTTCTTTAAAGAATTTTGGATGACGGTATGTATACTGACTTTCAAGATACGCGGCTAGGTCGTGGTCCTCAGCTCGGAGCGCGAGATGTCGCGGCGTAAGGCCGGCGTGGTCACGGCGCGTGAGGGAGGCGCCGCCGGCGACGAGCATGCAGCAGATGGCGCGGCGCTTGTGCGCGGCCGCCTTGTGCAGCGCGGTCTGTCCGCGCTCGTTGTCGCGCATGTTCAGGATGGCGGTGGGCGCGCACGCTATCAGGTACTTCACGATCTCCTTGTTCCCGTACCGCGCCGCCACGTGTAGCGCCGTCTGACCGCTCGCGTCGATCGACAGCAGCGAGTACCCAGCCGCGTGCAACTCTTTCATCTTCAATCACAGTAGTTTGTAAAAGTTTTTGTATAGCTAAATATGTCATTGTGGGACCTACTGAATTTATTAAATATTATGTCTTATTCTCGTGAATAAACTAAGAATCTTTCCCCTCTCCCAAACACTCTCCAGTCCCTAAATGCGCTAAGCCCCAAAAGGTCATCAACGCACTCGTAACTACTTCGTTGTTGCGTTAGTCAATGGGCTTATTTATGAGTGATGCGTGCGCGTCCGAGCTTTTCTCAGGTGATTCTCAGGTGAGTAAGTCGTTCTTTAAATAAATTCAGAAGGTCCCACAATCACATATTTGGCTACACAAAACTTTTATTTCAGGATACGGTTAGTTAAACCATTTGATTTATTTGTAAATGTTGTTTTACGCTTTAAAAGAGCGGGCTACTAGAGAAGTAGTACCAGACTAAATTATTAACTATCTATCAGATACTATCAAAATGCAAACAAGTTTTATGAATATTTCTCTCATCGCATTAAATCAATTTATATTTCGATAAAAAGCGAGTAGCTGAAAATGTATCGTAAATCATAAGAAATTATTTTTAGTATCTGAAAACATTAAGCGAGATATTATTATAATCGGATGTAAATATTTTCATACTTTGTTCTTCCATCAGGAAAATGGAATCGAAAATAAGTAACATCTTTGAATGAATTCCTCACCATTTTCAGATCACCGACTTTGGCCGCTTTGAGCAGGGCATCAGATGTTTTTTCCAATAAATTTCTGAAACAATGCCAAGGTTTTACTTTGTTCTGTAAGTACTGAAACAAGTTTTTTGAAGATAAATAAAATTAAACGGTTTGTAAGTCTGGTCGTTCGACTGTCGCTTTCAAAGATGGGAAACGAGATAAAAATGCTTTCTGGAGGGATTTTTGTGGATATTTATTAGCAAATTCTTAGAATTAGTTGTATCAATAAAATTAGATCGTGTTAGCTCTAACCGAGTATTATAACTACGAATGTAATGAAATGAAAAAAATAATATAATTTACAATTGCTTGTAATATGCCATGTTAAAATATTTGGGAATCACCGTAATACAATATTACAAACACTAAGTATGTTTGTTTCCATTTTATAACAAGATTTACAAGGAATCCGGAGAGTGATATGATATATTATTCTATGAAGATGAAATACAAGGAGCAGATATGAATGGAGGTGATGTTGAAACTCTAAGAACTAATCTATAGCTATTACGTCTAAGTAAGTCTCACCTATAGCCAAACACTTCTTGCTCAAGTCCAAACAATTTTTCATGAATGCTGCATGCAATAGAAGAGAGAAGAGATAGAGTGCAGATTTCAGTTTCAAACCAGAGTGCATCGTGCCCCAATGCTTATACTTGTGCGATACCCCTAACAGAATAGTGATCACACAAGGTTAATAGTTCCTACGACTGGTCGCGTTATCAACTAGGCCACTTACTTATTGTGCACTTTCTAAGAATTTCATTAACGCAATTCTATTTTTTCAGTGGTTATGTTCATTATTTACTAGTTTTCTATTAATAATACAGTGCTGTTATACTAAAACTAAATATAATCTAAAGAGATTTTGGCTTTTTAATGCTAAGTATTTAAATTAATTATTCAATGTTAGTATCCCGAGAAGGCTGCTTTAAAGGTTGCCGTATCCTTATATATGTAGAACTAAGTATGCGTGTTAACTTTGTAACACATTTGCATTATTTGTTACGGAGGCGTTGCAGAAGCGCTCAAACATTTTGCATCTAAATCTATGCACACACTATGGCCTGGTTAGCTTCAAAAGTGAACGTACTCACGTTTTAAACCGCGCTATTGAATCAGTCGTGGGTTCATGGTCTTTGGCGGGTGGGCTAGTGCACAGGGGTGGAGATAATGGCTCGGTTTGCACTATGGCTGGGCTTAGAGGGGCGGGCGGTCCTGAGCCCGGGCTGGCAAGCACCGGCGGGGTCGGCGACGGCGGCCGCACCGACACCGGCGTCGTCGGGACTGCGTTGGGCGGCGGCGTTTGAGGCGACAGCAACTCTTCCGAAGACCGCGCTGGACTACCAAGACCCGATTCACTATATAAATAAAATATGTTTAAATATTTCACAACACAATACAATTTCTCCAAAATCTAATTTTCCAAACACGTCTATGTAAACGAAAACTTTTCTAGCATCTTTATTTCCCAAAACGAAGTCAGCAAAAAATGTGAATGAGATCGCAAGCCACGCGTGAAGTTACCCAGATTTGTTTGAAATCGGATTTTGTTTAAGTAGCTCCGTGCTTTGTCGGATAGACCGAGTTTGAAGAGTTGCGAATTTAAGTGGATTAGTGTTAGCTAAGGCCACAGTTTAAAAACAATTACTTTGGTATATAAAACGGATAATATTGGAAATCCACAAAACTCCAATTACTTAAAGTACTTATTACATATTGAATTAAATGTACTCTCCGGCTTTGTCTGGAATGTTCAATTTCACGCAGAGGGCGGTTTAATAGCAATAGCGGCCGGCAGTTGGCTTCGTTTGCCGTCACATGAGAGTATAGATTAAATGGTGCAATCCAGCGAGTCGTTCACATTTCTGAACACTTGCTTTTCGAAATTAGAAAAGAAAACGTTTGTTCTCTTCTGTATCTTGGTTTTTCAGTTCAGCTATTAAAATGTAGGCAAAAAGTTTAATGTTAAAAAAATATGTGATTGACCTCTCCTCTGCCGGTAAATGAGACACAACAGAAAACACACTGTGCCTCGCGTAGATCTGCGCTACGGCATATCACGGGTTCATATAGAATAAATGTGGCGAAGTAAACAGCAAAGAACTTCTAAGGGAAAACCTTAAAGCTACTACAACTCACCAAGGATGAGATTCAGGCACGTCGAGCGAGACCGCAGCACTGGGTGTGTCGACACTCTGCGAGATGTCGAGCGAGACGGAGAGTCCGGTGGTGGTGTCGAGGGACACGGAGGCGGCGGTGCGCTCGAGCGAGGCGGTGGCCGTGGTGTCGGGCTGCGCCGTCGACTCCGTGTCGGGCGTGCGCGGCGTGTGCGGTGCCGCGTCCAGGATGTAGATGTTGTCGTGCCCTATGTCCGCCGGGTAGTGCAAGTTCTCCTGCGCCTTGTCTATACGGAAGAACCTTTCCGCTGTCACGGCTAAACAAAAATCACCCGTTAATGACCTATCTACATTATTTAATCTATACCTACTCATATTATATAAAAAACATTCTTAATATTCTAAACTAGCTACTTCAGCGCGGTTTCACCCGCTACTCAGCTCCATTTGATCATTGCGCATTGTTGATAGCCTATAGCACTCAGGAACATTGTAGCTACTTATCAGTGACATTCCGACCAGCGGTTCCAAAGGTTACCCCCTACATACAAACATACTTAACTTACAAATTTTACCTCTTTATAATATTAGTACAGAAAAAGCTGAAGAGTTTGTATGTTTATTTGTGCTAATCTCCGGAACTACTGTTTGGATTTTAACAATTCTTTTTGGGTTTGTTAGTCCATTTATAGAGGAAGGATAGACTGTAAAACATCATGCTAGGATCAGTAGCAGCGGGCGAAACCGCGCAAGAATAGCTACTTAATAATAAATTTCATAGCCACCGCTTATTCTACCTACTAATGTTTTCATAATGAGATTCAAAAACCTTTTGAAGATAAAGCTCGCGATTTAGTATGAATACCTACTCAAAGCTTTACAAATATTTTCTCAGTAATATTTCTAAATAAAACTGAACAAGTACCTACCTACCTACGTAGCGGGTTCGTTTACATTATTGTTCACATAAAACATTTTTCCGAATGATTGCAGATAGCTATAACATATCCCAAATTCTTTTCACTCAATCGTACAACTTGTAAATATGACCTTTCTACCTGTAGGTACGAGAGGAACGAGAAAGGGTAATTCTGTATTTATACAGCGAATATGTAATGTAAATTATAAAAGGTACTTTCATACAGATGCAGAGTTAAAAGAAAATAAGCATGAGATATACTCTTGACATACTTTAGAAATAATGGGAACACGAGAGGACATGTTTGCCTTCCGTTCTCCTCGGAGAGGTTCTTTAAGCTTGAAGAAGCTGAATACAAGCATTATGTTAGATAAGCATTTGTTCCCAGTAAGTTCAAGAGTTTATTTTATAATTTTATATCTTCCACTCGTTTTTTAAATAGGTCTTGTCGTGTTACAAGCTCGGAGTTGAGGCATATACGGGAAATCGAAATAGGTATGTGTATAAAAACGGTTGCTCTCTCCAACCTGCCAGGTATAGAAATGTGAAAGTGGCCCGAACATACGAACATACATCTCAAAGGAAGCAACGAGAAAAACTCACAGTCGACAAACCACCAGTCGGTGAGGTTCGAGTACGCTTGAGATTCTTTGATCATGTTCTGAATGAGGCCGCGCATTTGTTCTAAGTCGGCAGCAGGGTTCACGTCTAAAGTGCCGACTTGTTCCGCTGTAACAAAACAAATTAGTTTAATCGTCAGTCGGTTATGTTCAATGAACCGATGCTACAATGATTTACAATGTACAGAATGTCTGTCGAATAATTTATCTCCGATATCCACATTCCCAACGTCCATTGCACCGTTCCCGGGACAAATTAATTTATCGGCATTTCATTATTGATTTATTGACATTTCGACTAACGGAAAAGGATTATTTTTGGTAAAATTTTTAATACGCTATTGATATATTTTACCTATTTCTTTTGTAGGCGTGCCAATATGTATTATTGTTAAACATCATTGAATAATGTAATAGAATAAAGGATAACGTCATCAAATTTATTTATTTATGAGTGAATTTAAACAGCTCATCCATAAACAGAGCACAACAAGGTTTTACATTAAAACTTTGACTCTGAAACGAACTTCATTATACGTACATTAACTGGCTGCTGCCAGCGGTTGTTTATTCATTGTTTTTTTTACAAAGTCCGCGGGATCAAAGGACTTTAGCTCTTAACGAAGTATTTTCCTGTTTAGGATGAGTGTTAGTAGGGCTTAATCTTTGACAATACTGACGTAAAATTTGTTATATTTAAGTATATTTCAACTTTATTATACATACATATATACATGCTTTGTGAATGCATTCATTTAATGGAATACCAATTTATACTCTTTTTTTAACTGTTTTTGTTTTTTAGTTTGTGGATTCAAATAGTTCTTCCGTGCGGGAATAGAACCCGCGACACGTTGCATGGCAGCCAGTTACCCAGCCACCGCACCAACCGTGCAATCATGTATCTTTCTATAGGTGTTCGATTTGAAGAGACATAAATAAGAGCTTCCAACGTTTATTCCTATTTTAAAGCCCTAGTATTATTCCCCGAAAGTTCCAGTTAGTCCAGTTAGTAAGATTCCTAGAAAAAGTAGGAATGCTTACAAAAGTGTTTAATGTAACACCGTTTAAAGTTGTTAAAAGCAGCATACAGTTTCCGTACGGATCTAAAATGTTGTGTTGCAATTATTCGAGTAGAGTAGGTCGGCGTCGATCGCTACTCGTCGAGGAAAACAACAGATATCGAATTTAACTCTGCGCTAACTATCGATGCGAAATAAACAAGTGAACGTAAAACTCAGCGGGGCTTTTCCAGTTCAAATGAATTCAAACCTTAATGTCGATTTATCTTATCAACATCGGCAAAACTTTTCTGGTTAAATTCAAACGCAGTAGTCAAATGCTTAAGTTTGTTTTGAAGTTTCAGCACGCATGATCATAATACAATTTCTAAAGTTAGCCAGTGCCAAGTTTTGTTGGTTCAATCAATTAATCTGTAGTATTTAAGGATTGCATAGTTAATTAAATTTGCTACCTGTCTTTGCGAGTAATTCCTTGTCGTAATGATGTCGCTCATAATCGGCCATCGTTATGAGATTCACAGTGAGGGTGAGTTTGTCCATTGTAGTTTGACTGCAACAAAGACATTCAGGTCTAAGCCACCTTATATACTATTTATTGTAGCTGTATATATTCTCATTCCAGGTCCACTTTTCATTACCCATTCAATGGGCAAGCACGTTTATGAACTTCAAACTTCCAAAAGTTGAAGCATCAAATCTATTTTAGAATATCGGGTTCCGTTCAACAATAATCGGATATTTTTCCGCAAATACTGATGTTCGAAAAAGGCAGTTAAGTCTTTTGTGGTTTAATTTAGAAATCAATAAATTGTTGATGGTTTTATTAGAATGGAAATGTTTGGGATACTTACGGGGCGATGGTTCGGCCTGGCTTCTTCTTAGCGAGCATGGTGGCTTGATTGAGCCGAGAGAGAGTGATCACAGAGGGCGCTAGGCGACACGCCTCCCCATCAACTTGCATTGGTATCACCTTCGTTGTCACAATTTTTGCAGTCTTGCATTGAGTGATGCAGGTACCGTGTCCTCCCGCTTGTAATAACGGCTGAATAACATTTACCAATCACTGAATAATTTCTATATAATTTTAGGTAATCTCTATGGAAAACTTTCTGCTTAGTTTTTCCGTAGAAATATTATGCAATCCATTCATAACAAGAGATAATATTTAGACGACAAAGTAACTTAACAAAATGACATCAGACATTAATATTACGGAGCTTAAATAGTTGGAACCTGCGACCTTTAACGTAGAAAACCTCTTCTTCCTCTCAATGAGATTACAGAATATCTTCGTTACATATTATATAATATTAGGTACACACATACATACGTCCCTGAACTAGTTTCTAAGGAGCAATTTACTGGCTACTGCAATATTGCTATTTAATTCCGCTGTTTGTATGCGGAATTTATTCTTATAATATTTTCTACTCTGCACTAGTGCTTTTTAAAATATTGTGCATCGTTTTCGTAATATGATAATATGAATATTTTAAAAGAAAATTTAGATTAAATTGTTTGTTGAAAATATGGTATGAATAGAAGTTTAATACGATGATTCGAAATATGAACTATCATATCATCTATTGCAAAATAGAATTACATTGCAAAGAAAGCCCAAATGAACCAATGAAAACTATACTTATCAATAAAAAAAAAACAAAAACGTAGGTAATTGAACAGACTCTGCGACTATAACAATCTATATGTACGCGTGGGTCTTGCAATACAATGAGAGGCAGGATTATGCGCACCCATTGGATAGGGAAAGGTAATGCTTTCTATAGATAAACTAATAACTTAACACCTATTATGAAGAATCACATATTATGTATGTAATGTGGATAAGTTACATTTTGTAGAAGCTATATTGATTTTCTAATAGGCTGAGATTAAATGTAGTACAAAGTACTCGTGTAAGTTCAAACACTTCAAAGATGTAACTGACACCGTCTTACCAATTGATAAGTGGTTAATCCGACTACTTCTATTAAGCCGTCTTCAGTGGAGGGTTCAAAGGCTCCCCCTGACTTGTTCCAAGGGTGCGTCCCACCACCGTAACTGTAAACAATGGGGACATGTCAATATCTAGTTATAATACACTTCGACTAGATGCAAAAACATTCACAGTTAGTAAGATCATAAATTAAGTATTATACGATTGCTATTGTATCGTAAAGTTTGAAGATGTTCCCGTACCTACAAAGTTTTATTTTCCCCTTACAAAATGGACAATAAATAAATAGATTTCTACTATACTACGGATGACTTCGTATTTTTTATTTAAAATGTTTCGATTCTATAAGAGAATTGCTTTTTTGCAATTTCGCAAATGACAGAAGTTCTTTCTTTCTCTCATGTATTATGTAGTCGAAAGTTGTACATGTAGAAAATATGAATATACACTTTCATAAATGAGATTTTTTCTGACCTTGGAATGTTTAAGAAGACAATGGCATGAACTTTGTGCTCCCTGAGCACTGGCGTCAGGTCTTTGCCGTCGCACTCCATAGTCACGAACTCGGCAAGACCTTTCCACTTGCGCTGCATGAGATCCTTCCCTCCGGCAGTACCGTAGAACAGCTTATTTCTTATTCGAGAGTTGAACTTTTCTGGATGTGCCTCTGTTTAGAGAAATAATACACTAAGCCTTGATGGTATAATCTTAGTCTGTGTCGAAGCTCGATTGTATCAAAACTTACACAACTGTTTAACACATCTTATTATTAAAACACAATTTTAAAAAGTTGTGTAGTTACTACAAGAACATAAATATGTATACTGACTAATTAAAAACTTAGTACTAAACAAGTCAGCTAGTCAATCGTGAAGTTAAAAACGAAATGATTAAGTACTTAGCAAGTAAAACCTAACTCAAGGATTTTGGTATTCATAAGAAAAGCACCTTGTACAAGACGGTCGGTCGCATAAACCAGCCCGAATTGCTAACTAGTACCTAATGAGTTCTCACAAAGTTTGATAAGCGAGAGAAGCTCACTATAGTTTATAAACGTGAACCTACATTGAGCAAAACTGAAATAGTCTCTCCAACTATAATTGCTTTGTGATCTGTCTAACAGTATTAGTTGTAACAATATAAGCAGCTTACGAAATAACTGCTATTTTGTAAGAGTTATTATTTAGCCTATTATTTCGTGTACTTGTTCGTGGTTGTAGTGTTTTATGGTAAGTAGGTATAATTATTCGGAGTCTGTAATTATAGAGCACAGTATACGTGTCACCGTATACCTCACTGTGCATGACTAAGTTGTGGTAATGCAAAGAGGTCAATGGGTTTATTTTTGCATAAGACTCTGACACACAAAATATGGGCATAGGTTTCACGTTATTGTTCGCAATTCAAGAAGTTTTAGTTACAATGCAACAGCTTGTCTACTTATTGTTATAGGCCGAACATCCGAAGAACACATTCTTAGAATACATACAACATTTCTTTCAGTTACGTTAGGCATTATTATTTTTGTTACTTTTAGAAAAGCGGCACTTAGTTATATGTTACTAAATAACTTAAACTTCAAAAACATTGGACTGTTCATAATTGAATGTTCTTTTTATAGTTAGACAGGGTTGAGTGACACATTTTTAGAATATAAGTAGCCTGTTAAAAAAATAAAGTTAACTGAAATGTTACAGGAAAAGGCGGACTTAAGGAAAATATTTAGATTTTTATTAAAATACTAAAATAATAGCTAGACAAAAAGCCAGTTAATTGCGATGACCTTAGTCGGATATGAAGGAAGAATTTTATACTGAAAGAGGAAATTGTCTAGGAGCTGTATAACAACAGCTGTATTATTCAAATACCATAGGAACATTATTATAGTAAACAAACTTGCTTCCTCAGTTAACTGGCAAGGCCAATAGAACATAAAAATTACGTACAGACTACAAAGTAGCTTTAATTGTAATAAATGCGTTTTTAAGATGATTTATTATAAAAAAAGTGGTCGGTTGGTTTCCATGGTTGCTCTAAGTTATAATGCGAAATGAAAATTGTAAGCAGCATTAAACTCCTCAGACATTATACCAGTATAAAACAGATATGTTTTGAATTCACTTTTAAAATAAGATTTTTAATTGTATTATAATTTAACGCAAACTTACCTCTCGCTTCATGGAATTCTAAAGCTATGTGAGCGTCAACGCCAAATGAGAAGTAATTATTAACGACGTTGAGTGGTAGTTCTGGCTTGGCATTGCTGGTGTCTTCTCCGGCCGCTGCAGTGTTTGGCACCACGCTCAGCTCCCATCGGTCCAGCAACACTGTATCACTCTCTCCGATATTCGCTAAAATTTTCGAAATTGGTTCATCTTCGTAACCCTAGAACAAAGCAAACAAGATTCAAGACAATCCTTAAATCAATTTCCGTGGAAACCAAGTAAAAGTGTCCCAGATTTTAGGTTTAAGCCCTCTATCTACGTCGACGCCGGCGAAAATCGAAAAACCAATTTGTATAGCATTAAAATATAGGTTCGGGGTGAAAGGCAATGCTAATTCGACTTTATGTAACCTATTTCGCTCTACTGACTCAAACATTGTGTGGGAAGTTACACATGCGGCGATGAGCGCTATGTTTTTCTTAATTACATTGAAAAAACACAAAGTTTAAGAAAGTACCTAGGCATAAAAATGTACAATATCTAAAACAAAATAAAGTAATCATTTAAGCATTCTTGATTTGTCGTTGGATGGCTAACCGTTTAGTTTTCTGCCTAAAATATCCACTTTCCTTGGTGAACCGAAAACATTGGTATCTTGTAATAGCTATGTAGATCAAGGCACTAATGAATATTTAATAAGTATCCCAGACAAATGGCTGGTGCTATACAGGTGGGATTTGGTGCGAGTACTGGGGTAATTGACGGGTGATACACACACATTTATTCTGTACTTCATTACTTTTTCAAATGGCTGATTAGGGACCCAGTGGTACTAAAATATTTGACACAGGCGACACGAAATAGACATTTGGAGTGCTATGAACTCAATTCTTTACGTGTATGCCACACAGCTTATAAATTATTACATACTTGGAAATATATGGTTAGTGAAATATTTATATGCCATCGAAGATAAGTCAAATAAAACTGCAATAAATCGAACGAAGAATATGTTTTTCTGAGATCGTATTATCATCTTGTCGTGTTGCACTTACAACTTAGTTTTACAAATAAACATTTTTCAGCTGCAATAAGGCCTTCTGTTGTCAGAAAATAATCAAAAACCTTCCACAATTACTCTCACGGTCGCAGTAAACATCGAATATTATATAATCTCTTATGGAAAAGTTCAGTACGCTTTAAGTAATTATAATATATTATACGTACATACACACAGTATTTGATATGAAACCTACCCAATTAAATTCTCTTCGTACTTATTATTTTATGTTCAACAAACTAGAAATATTATATAAAAGCGACCTTAATTCCTGTTGCCTAAATGATAATGAGGATGTTACGCTAATCTCGTCGGTACAGTTTAACGGGGTGGACACCAATATAATAAACGTTGGGTAAATGTGAGGCTGCCTAATGTTATCTATACTAATATTATAAGAAGGTAAAATTTGTTATTGTAAGTTTGTATGTACAGGGGAAAATATTTGGAACCGCTGGTCACATTTCTAAAATTCTTTCACTGATAGGTAGCTACGATGTTCTGGAGTGCTATAGGCTATAAAACATCACCCTTTGACCAATAGAAATCAATCATCGGGAAAAACCGCGCGGCAGTAGCTAGTCATCAATATTAGTAGGGGTAATTTTAAAACAAAGTAGCGCTGTTGTAGCTCTTTATAACACAACTCATATTGTTATTTGTTCGCGGTATAAAGCCGATGCGTTAGCCTTGTTGCCTCAGCAAGCTGAGCGTTAGACTTCTTACCTCGACGCCGCCATTTAAGGAGATTTACTTAAGTACGATCTTGTTTACTTCTACCGCAACTTATTTCGCTCCTAATTAGTTTATTTGTACGAGTCAATGCTTCACTGCTTTTACATGATCAAAATGTTAGAATTAGTTCGTTGTTATTATTTCAAAGCTCCTAAGGCTCTATTTGGTTAAGTTTAAACATCAGTTGGAACAAAATTTTACCGTATTTTGCTATAGGTATTTACTTTATTTTTTTACAGTCGGGATAGTTCGTGATTTGTGTTTGATAAATATACAGGACAAACGTATGCAATAAGTAAATAGCGCTAAAAAATAAAGGAAATAGCGCGGTTATTTTGATACCTAATTATCGGCAAATAAACACAAAGAGGGTGAATATGTTGAAACATTTGAGAAGCATAACAATAAAAGAATATTGTACAAATCCGGAGTTTGTTTCTTGTTTTGGAGACCAGTAACATTTTCACGAACAATGCAATAAAGTTTGTTTATGACCTCGTTAAAACACATTGTCGTACGTCAAGCGACATCGAGTAATAATAGCATTTGCATATTCATAGCATAGGTATACCTTTTCTTTTGATTTTCACAACTCATACAGACGAATGTATATGTTATAAATTATGAATAACAAGTCGGCGCCCCTTAATTTTAGCGTCCGGAAAATAATGTATTTTAACTTTTTCCGTCAGCGGGCTCGCTAAATATTTATGAATTTAATAACATTTGAAGAAAACGCGTTGCTCATAGGTACTTGTTTTTATACTAGATTGAATTTAAATATTGTAGAAGAACGACCACGTTTAAAAGTTTTATTAACTTTTGAAATACTTTAGGACAAGAAATTACCGTGGCAGTAAAACATAACGTAGGTATAAGTACGTCATATAAATGTTATATACCTGTACATACATATATGTATGTATAGCGGACGCCAGTTACTATTTTAAGGTACAATAAACACGACTTACGTCGAAACTCTCCAGACATTATTTAAGCTTAAATTGTCGCCGTTGTAGTTTTGAGAGAGTCTGCGGTTGCCTTAAGTAAGCTCAGTTGCAAGAAACTACGTGAGCAAATTTAAACCACTTCGGGATCAAAAAGTCTCTAGAGTATCAAATTAAGTTTCTTGGAAATCCAACTAATTAATTTATGACGAAGTTTTTGTTTGTATTGTTTGATACTCGACGTTGTTAACCTACTGTTTTTGTATTGTGGCAGTTGTAAACAAAATAAATATGAGTTGTGTCGGGCCATTTAGGTGTATATTTAGTAAATACCGTTCGTCATACCGGGTTAAGCATTTGTACAGTTCCCACGGGGCGAGGACGAATTTATTTTACTTTTTCACGCACGACACTCCTGTCCCGAGGCAAGGACAACGATAACCTCATAATAACACCCGCCGACATGACTCCACACTCATTACCTACATACACGGCTTCTGTTTTTACAACCTCGTTTTTAAAAGCTTCCATTGCTTGATCTTAATCTCCACGCCAATACAATTTCAATCGTAGAGCGTTATTGTATTGGTTTCTCTGTACCTATCTATACATATGTAAAAGTGCTTTTCCGTGAACGCATTGCCTGAAATTTTCAATATAAATGTGTAACAGATGCGAATGACGTAACGTGAAATTACGTGGTTTAAGGGTTCGATACCCCTAGCAAAATATCACTGGGTTTGTGTATTTCAAAATGTTGTGTTAATGCCGCCGTGTAAGAAAATTGTTTGTAATATTTTTTTTAAACCCTTGCTCCACACTACACACGTCTCCTGTGTAGTGGGTGCGGTTATGAATATACACATGACACCCAGACCCGGAATAAAGAGTTGTTCCCTGCGGGAATTGAACCCGCGACACGTTGTTGCCTAGCCACTACACCAACCGTGCAGTCATAATACGTTATTAAATATTTTTTTATTTTATTGACATAGTGAAATTCAGATTTACTTACGCCGCCCCAGCCAAGCGCTCGTGCAAGATCGTTTCCAGTGCCGAGCGGTAGCACGCCAACTGCTGGTCGTGTTCCAATGCGGTCGAGCACGCTCAGCACCCAGCCCACAGTGCCATCACCACCGCATGCCAGCACGCGCAGATTCGGCACTTTCCGAAACAGCTCCAAACTGAAATAAAACTGTTATGTAAATTCTACCTACTCCTGATACAAAAATACAGAAACATTATAAAAGCAGTTTATTTTTGGAGTTTAGTTTAACTCGTCTGCTCGTTTGCCGAAATTTGACATAAAACACCATTTTTTTTTTCGGGAGCTAATCAATATTTCAAGGAAAGTAAGTTCTTATTTATCTGGTCATTATACCTATTATTAGGAAAACTTCTTCAATGCCCGTAAACAGCTGAAAAATAATTGGCCAAAATATCACAGCCAGTAGCATAAAAACATGCAGCAATATGTAGATCTGATCTAAAACCAGACACAGAGCTATTCGAGGTGTAAACGCTAAGAAGACAAGGAGGTTCCCCCACGTCCCATTAGCGTGACATCCTACAATACGTTTTGTTAAGACCGAATGATGCAAGCGGACCATACCGGCCTTACATTTTAATGGGTCAGACCTATTATTGGCATTGTCAGGTCGACGGGCGGAGGTAGTTTGTGCTACCATTCTGCACAGATTATCTAATTCTTATTGCCCCTTGTCTCTTTATGCTAAACAATGTACTAGGAGCACTTGATTTGGAAAATCGCTGTCGGTTCTTTGATTGTGTTTTTTTTTGGTGTTAGAGTTTGGCGACGTATCTTTAAAGACGTGGTTTTCATTAGAGAAACTTTTGAGGGGTGATTGTGAAGGGAAAATAGTGTTTTCAGTAGACTCTAAGTAATTATGAACATACCCAGGTCCTGGACCACCCTGTGTGAGATCAAAAACTTGTCGTGGATTCAGTAGCCACTGGAACTTCTGCAGCAACTTCGCTCCCTGATTGCCTCCACTTTTTGGATTTATAAAAACTAGTACAGGCTTTACGCTCGCAGTGGGAATTGGCTTAATCACGAATGTTTTCTGTTCATTTTTAGAATCTTTTCCTTTTTTCTTGGAAGCACTTTTTTTCTTAGGCGATTTCCTTAGCGATGACTTAAAACTACCTCTTCTTGGCAACTTGACGATCCACGACGGAGGTACTATTATATTATTTTGCGACCCTGTTATAAACGCAAAAGTAAACATTTTAGTGAAATTGTATTTCAAAGAACTAAGCGACATAATGACAAAAGTTTTGGGTCGTTAATACTGTACCTAATGAGCATTCTTCTCCTATCCGCTGGAGATTGAAACAACTTTCTTTGTTGTGGTAGGCGTCTTTACACCACGAACAAGTCAAGGCAACGATTTCCTTCGAGCTAAATGATAATTTAGCCTGCAGCGACTGTTGAGAAAACATCTAATTAGAAAAACTTCTACGCAATACACATGTACAATCATATCGGTTAGCTTACTACGATATCTTAACATAAAGCAAGCAACAATTAATATACAGGTTGGATATTCATTACCAACATTCCTGAAGTCACAGTCACAGCAAATAATAAGGAGGTAGCATTTAAATGAGTATAACAAAAAATAAATCATCTTTGTTTGAACAATAAAACTTTCATAAAAGTTCCCATTAAATTTATTTCAGGAATACAGGTGTAACAAGATAATTCCGTCCTGTACTGAGCGCCTGGCCTCCACCTGCAAGCAACATATAGGGGATACGCACATTCACAATTTCACCATTGTCTACTCCTATAGCCTTGTCTACAGTGTCCTGAGTTGGTATGCACCACCGACAGCAGCTGCGCCGGAATGACTGTGACAACAAAACAACCATGCAACACACATGCAATGAATCAGTGATACACACAAATAAAGCCACATTAGCAACATAAAATAACAAAATGATCAATAAATGTTAAAACATATAATGATACCACATCTACCATGAATTCATGAAACTGAAACCAATTCAAAACTATGTCGTGGCATTACAATTTAACAAACATTAACTAAATAAATTAGCAGTTGTCGGATTAAACTATTCACGTCATTAACCTTTGTGAATAACAAATGAATCTGAATAACAACAGCTCTAACAGCTAAAAGCTTGGTAAATCATGTAATAATACCTACACGCAAACCGTTTTTAATGTATGAAACAAAATATTAACTTTATTCAAACAATAGTAATGAACAACCACAAAACACATAAAGTAGAAATGTTTGTTGTTCAAAATTGTGCAGAGTGCAGGCAGTACAAGTACGATGCGAGCGATATGGTAACACGTCATTAAAAATGAAGTTTTAATTTCGCGTTGAGCGAAAGCGCGGCTTGCCCGACCGACGCGACCGATGCGACGCGCGGTGTTCATGTGTCATGAGTTCGTAACGTGTCGCATGCGATGTCGGGCTTATTCGTGCTATGTAGATGTAGATGCAAATCATTTGACAGAACCGCGCGACGCCCAGAGTGAGGGCTGCCAGCCGTAAGCACCGCAGTCACTTCATTAAACACGTGGCTACACTGCACCGCGTCCACCAAAAAGCTACTGTGTTATATCATATATTATTTAAGTTCAGCAAGCATACACTATGTCTATTCTTTACTATATTGTTAACCTAATGTTTAATAACGTTCGTTAACTTATTTATCTGTGCTTAGAGAACTTTGTTGAATTACTTGACTGGAGGTTTTGGAACACATGATAATATCGCATTTTGGAAAGTTAGCAACCATAATCGAAAACCGCATCAACAAAAAGGAACTTTGTTTTAAATGTTACTGCAAGGGTTAGTTAAAATCCGCTTTTCCGTAAAAAGTTTGTATTTCATTAAAAACTTGTTTAATTAATTGGATTGTTCAGACTGCGATTTTAATAGCTACGTGAGCACAAAAATTCGGTGATCCCAATTGTATACAATTATCATCATGATTGTTGTATTTTGTATGTTTTTGTATTCTTAGGCAACAATAAATCACGTAAAAAATTCTATATTGGGTATAAGTATCAGGCGCCATATTGAAACCAAATAATAGGAATATCCCGCATAGTAACTCAACGTGCTAAGTTAGTGATTAGTTCGGCAAACATGTACTGACATGTTTCTATTTATTTATAATTCTAATTCGCACAAGTGGATGGTTTAGGACTATCCTAATTACACTAAAACGTGTCAAGAACCGAGCAGCTGTCAGGCAAATGTACACGATCTCAAGGAGAGAGAATGTACTGGGGTAATCTGAATTAAGTTAGACAGATATGTTAACTTAAAGCTAACTTAAAAGCAAAATTTAGAAACTTATTCGGGATTCGAATACTTGAAGACGTATTATATGATTTTAGATTATTTTATAATACGTATGATTTTCTGAGAGGTATAACTGATAAATAGGTTTCATAGCACAGAACAACTCTTTTTGTGATTAACAAATTGTTGTTCCGGTCTGTGTGTGATGTGTATGTGAAATTATATGTTTGTAAACGCACCCAGGATACAGTAGGAAATTGTAGTCTAGGGAAACGTTCTTTTTAAAAAGGTTTTACAGTGGCAGATAGATTTACAAGCCAACAGAGTATCAAGTTTTAACTAATTAAAAAGTCATTTAATGGCTCGGCTTTTCCTGACGTTCATAAAACAAAGCTCTCCAAAACAATTTCAGTACAATGTTATTTTTCGTGGCTATGCATTTTATATTTATTAAACATCGATCGGGTTGTACCTATAAAAAATCTTTTAAGGTTCTCATATATTTTTTTCATTTTCGTGTGTAGTTTTACGGATTTCCGTAGAGGTGTTTGTCGTATATATGTATGTCTGTTTAAAAATAGCTAGACCTTTTCATTCGAGCTTTACCATTTCGGTTGATGTAAAAGTCAAAACATGTCCGCCAAAGCCGGACGTTTCGCAACTCTAGCAAGCCGTGCAAAAAAAAGTTACCCGTCAGTGTGACCTTTTTATTTTCGTAGCACCGTACCAACTTTTTTTCGTAGTTCGGTACTGTTTGCTATGGTAATACAACACTTCCGCTACGTGGTAGTTCACTTGTATATTTATAACTTTTGCTGTAAAATAACCTACATGGGACCTCGGTATATATTTTATTAGTTGCAGAACGATTTATTTTATACGTAGCTAAATGAAAGCCTTTGAACATAAAGTAGTAGTTGTTGATTCTTGTCGCAGAAGTAAAGGAATCCTTTTATGTACATAACATAATATAGCAATAAATGAATAAGTTAGTAGTTGCGCTATATGAGCTGTAATCTGTGTTTTACTTCATAAAACTGCTTAGAGCATAATAAACGTTTTTAAAATTTTAATTAAACTGTTTTAATCTCCATGAAAACTTCGTTTTTATGATGTTCAATGCAGGCGAGTGCTTACCCAGGATACGCCCGCGACGATTACCTAGCAAAATATACGACCTTACGACTTGAAGCGTTTGTTTGCCATAACCCACGTTTTACTGTGTAATTAACCTCCGATAGTCTTAGAATAATATACGTAGGTACACAATGAAAAACTTTGCCCATTAAATGGCTACTCGACGAACACAATGGTCTTTATCGATTTCTTAAATAATTAAAGACTCAATTAAGTGGCCTGAGTAAAGGAATCCTTAATGTAATAGTCTGGTGGCTGGTTGCTGATGGCTAACTTCCACGATTGTGATTACATGGCATCGTCTCGTCTACTAGCAGCGCACACCATACATATTAATGAATGCTCCAGTGGATGAGATGATCGATCTGGATCATTTAATTGTAGCAAGGACCATTAACTATTAATCAGACCCTATATTAATTTACGTTAAGCTTACGTATGTAATCACTAAGCGTTAGGTTCTGTTAGGATCTAAATTAATCCTGTAATTACTTAACTAATTTCACACTCCCCAGATGTACGGCAGACAAAGATATCAATATCTCTTGCTGTCTAAAATTTATTGAGCGACTGATAAATAGTGGCTTTATTTAATAAAATGAATGATTAGTATGTAAGGATATATTATAAATTTCTAATGTTATTATTCTATTCATGACTAATCCATTTGGTCATTATGATATTGATCTGTTGCAGTGTTTTATAAACATTAATACAACTTAGCCTTTACTAAAATGTCTGAATCAAAATACTAAGATCACATAAAAATGCAAAGTTTGTTACAAATATAAAATGACCGAGTAAAATAATACAATAAAATGTTTTTCCTTCGTTTAAGGCCCAGTCATGCGGAATTTGTCATAATCTGATTCCCGTTTAAATTATTTAACGCACGTTCTGTCCGTCCTTCAAACGGCTAAACAATAAGGAAATTATGATTGTTGTGTTTGTATTCGTTCAACAAATATTTTCATAAATAATATCTTGCGAAATCTGTTTCAATTGTCAGTCAGTAGCATTGTCAAAATTAAATTAAAATTTTGGAATTGTTAATATCTAAAAGCGAAATTATATTGCGTTTTTATCTACACAGCTGCGATCGATCTGAAACGATAAAATTGGTCCTTGCACGTGAACAAATAATATAACTCACACTTTTATATCCCAAAAGAGACAGTGAAAGGTTTAGCCAGGTTTTTACGAGTACTAGGTAATAAAAATAAACTTATTGCTTGATCCCTGTGGACATAAGTTCCAGTACTTGTGGCGCTATTGAAATTTTTGTGATTGAGATAACCGATGTTTATTTTTGTATATTTGTATATTTATTAACAGACCGCCCATACCAGTATCACATAAAACACCTATGATCTTTGAAATTTTCCATTGAATAAAATAGGTATATAAGCTTTTCTTTTACATTAACCTTGTCATGATAATAAAGGACACAAAAAATTTGAGGTTATGCGTGGACATAAGTATATACATTTTTATTTACCTAAGTACCAACCTATCTAGATTTGGTTAAGAATGTTACTACACATTTATTAAGCAGGCGTAGACATATACTTATATATATTTTTCTAACGCGATGGAAATCTTACTCTGTCAGACTCTTTTCTTCACGCCTAAACTACTGAACCGATTTCTGTAAAATTTGGCACAGACATAGTTTGGAACTCGAGAAAGGACAAAGGTAAGTTTTTATACGAGAAATCTGGAGGAAGTCACTACCCCACGCGAACGGAGTTGCGGGCAATAGCTAGTATAATATATAAAAATTGCCTTCTTTTAAATTTTCTCAGGCTTCTTCATAAGATAATATTGCTATCACATCACTGATGAAAACATGACAAGATTATACATACAAGGTCGATCTTTATCGATTGCAATATCGTCAAAATTACGTACGGTACATCTTAAGATTAAAGTTATCAAGAAAAATCAGCGTTCATCCTGATCGTTTGTTGTGTACGTATGTATTTATTTACACCAAATTGAATTATAATATTATTGTAACAACATGTTTCCTTTACTTTTAGTTGTATTAAATGTTACTTAGTACTGAAATATTTTTATTTGCTTTACCTTATACCTATAACAGACACATTTGAATCAAAATTTCAAATTATAAGAACAAAATTTCATAAAATTGTCGCATAATGAAATGAATGTGATGATTAAAACACCAATATGTGATAGCTAACATACATAACATATATGATGATTTTAAATTACCTGAGCTCAGCATTCCATTACCAAACAAATGCATATTTAATTTATTTTGTAGAGTTATGACGTTATTCATATTATATCTAGGTATAGTTTAATTTGTTAATAATAGTGGAATACTGGCCTAGATAAAACTAGTACGAAACAATAAAATAAACACTCACACAGGTTAATTACAGTACCAAATTGACCCATATGCCACAATCATAATGAAAACGGCTGATTTAATTTACCTGATAATTATTATCAGTATCGGCTAGACAGCTACTAGTACTCTAAATAATAGCTAAATCAAAAATGCGTTTACTGTGCACAATGTTTAAAGCAAATTTGTGATTATAATCTAATATTTAATTATATGAACGTGTTAAATATTAACGACTAGTCTAACTAAATGTGCCTACAATAAATGGTAGCAATGAATTATATAAAAATAAATCAGGTAAATATGTTTCCGTGACAGTTTCCCATTGTACATTATGATTTATATACTGTTGGTATTTATTAGGTACTTACAATGACACATATGGCTATTAAATCGAATAGCTGTAATATCTACTTAACGAAAAGTTATTGCCTACATCGTTTATGTTCAACATTGTACGTAAGTGCCTGTAATAAGTATACTTTGTCACTTTATTTAAGAACAGAAATAGAAGATTTTATTCTACTTACATTGCTCTAAATAGTCACAAAACAAAATTGCTTTGAGAATAAATAAATTGGAACCTAGTTGGTTAAATTTATTATTCCATTTATTTATAAGTAAGTCGTCCAATAACCAAAACTACTTCATCATCATTCCGTTGTAAATAAATAATGTGGAATATTTAATGAATGAATGATTCATTATCAAGATCAAAGATACCTACGTTTAAATTGGTAATAACCTTACGACTGATCAATTAAGAGCACGCCATCTTTATGCACAGTGACCTTTAAGCGTCTTTTCATCCTGTAATTCTCCTCTGTATATCTAGAAATCTATTCTCACGGAATTACAAAAATAAACATAAAATAGAGTCGACTGTTATGGGCATAGAAGGTAGATTTGGGTATAAACAAAACAGCCGTTTCCTTATGAGAGCTTAACATTGACCGATGACGTAAGCAACATGAATAGCGGCCCTCACCTTACCGCAGGCCTTGCACTTGCCCTTCTCTGAGCGGCGGTGGACCCAATGGTGATGAGTGATGGTCTGCTCCCGGTACTGTCGTACTCCCACGTCCCTGAACGTTGGCTTGCACGTGAACTGCACACGGTCCATCAATATGTCGATGCATGCTGTGTGCGCGACGATCTTGCATGCCGAACACTTCATACGAGACCCATGTTTCTGTAACAAATTTTACTGTGAATTTTCATTGGTAAATACACCGAAAATTATTGAACCTATATTAAAGTATATGTTCCCGATAGAACCAATTTTTTGCAATTATGTTATTCGTCACATTTCACTGTTGACGTATAGATAACGTTTGTTTTTTTCTATATTGGAGAAAAATACCAACCATATTAGTATACAAAACTTTGAAACTGATGATAAAAAACGATCATCGATAACATGTAGCTTTTAAATTATTAAATAAATCTAATTAAATATGTTCCTATGTAGGTACATCATTATCAGTACGTGGTATCTTAATTAAAAGTACTTAACTCCTAAGTATGATAGCTCACTAAATAGATCCAATTAGCGCGGACAATTGTAGGTATACCATTTCATTATAAGCATTAGTAGCGCCACATAATTATATTTGGTTAGTCGGCATAATAGGTGAGCATGCAATCACGTCCGCTACTTTAATTTTGTGTACAGGAATAATATTAAATGACCAACTGGTTTTTATTTTGCCAAATAAAACTGTTCTTCGTGTTAAGAACACGCAAATTTTTCTACAAGCCGGTACTTCAATAACCCAAGCACGTTCGCCAAGTAAATGCCTGAGTGACCTTAGTCCTGTGGCGCTCCTGAATTTGTAAACTAGACCTAGTAAGTATAAAATAAATATTCTCATAAAAATGTTTTGCAAATTTCTGAGAATTTTTATTCTATTTATCTTGATATTAATAAATTATGGAAATATATGTATGTAATAATAAATACATGCTATATTTTTATATCATAAATCAACACTACGTGTGCCTTATATGAATATTTTTTATTATTACAATATAGACATTTTTAAAGCATATTTTTTAGCACAAATACTAAGCTATTATTTGAAAAAGAAATGTATTATAACTGGAATTTAAAATAATAGAAATAGCAAAACTGCATTGTTTTGCCGCTGAAAATGGGACGACGAACTGAAATATCGCTAGGTGATCAATAATCCCCACTGAAATGTTCTAAAATCGGGACACGAGATTCTTATAAATAGATACGGTCGGAAACAAAGATAAACTTTTATTAAGGTATCAATGTACCTACGAACTCACATAAGACAGGGTGTTAGGGACAAAATGGTAACATTTATTCAAGTTCGATAAAGTTATAAATAAAAGTACATCAGAGTATTTATGTTGTCCTAAAGTAAATGACGAGGGTGTTACAATTAGAAATTGATTGCTTTCATGAAGCTCGCGAGACACCCTTTTGTTGCACCCACTGTGACAGGTCATCGCCACAACAAAATGGTGGCATCGGGTCATTAATCTTATGTACGACTACAACCGACCTGCGACATAATAGGCAGGAAACTTGCTAATGGTTGTTGGGGAAATTACATTTCTTCTAGCGTTGTTTAAGTAATACGCGAGTCGAGATATTTTCTATCTTGGTGTAAACTTCAATAGATTTTTCATGTTAATGCCTTTATTCATGGCGATACAAAGAAGTTCTTACCAAAGAAAATAGAAAAATAAATAATGGAAGATTGAAAGAAAAATATATCTTTGTATCGGTCCGAGATTCCCGTAACCGAACTCTAGAAAAATAAAAACTTGTTTTGACGGTGTACGTATTTTCTGCGTAAAATTTCATTAAACCGCCAGGTAATTTACTTCACTCGGCTCGTCACGTAATTTACCAGGTCCATTGTGTTGTTGTTATTCAATATGAGCGTGTCATTCAAAGATGCTTCTTCTGTTACAATGTAGTCATTTGAATTGTAAAAGCTTTTGCTTTTAGTTCGATGTTGATATTACTTTTATGGTACGTTTTGTTTTATAGTATCGTTGGGAACAGTGAGTATTATTTTGAGAAATTATGTAGTCAAATTAAGCCTAATGCTTTTAACGTGTACGGCAGTATATAAGGTACGCATCATTAAGTAAAGTTACGTCAGGATTTAATTTTATTTATGACGCAGAATATAAAATTTTCATGTTCCTTGACTGAAAATAAGAATAAAAGGCCACTATATTTCTGTCTTAGTAGCATTTTCTCCATTTAATCCTACAACGTGCGCTAGATTAACTTTATGGTCCTATGAGAATAGCAAGATTGGAAAATTCTGGATCGTTGACTTAATTTCGCATGATTGAGAGACCTTTCATCATTATTATCATCGTTAAGTCAAAATATCGGACTTATTTTTTGGTTTTAAGTAAAAAATCTTGTATAATGGGTAAGTGCCTATGCCTTAATATTTTACCAAATTAGGATTTCGGTGCCAATACCGTACTATGTAATTTTTTGGATCAAGATAAGGAGATATTACTAGGAATGTCGTTGTAAATAGTCCTTACTTCTAAAGGCTTACTTGTGTGTGTCGTTCTCTCTTTCTTTCATGCTGGGGAAAGATCAGTTAGCCGCAAAATGTATAATACTAGTCTAGAATCGACACTGAACTGAACAAAATGTAAAATAATAAAAAAGAACCTAAGTGTATAATTTTATTCATGCGTAACTCCTTGTTCAAACAAACCCATCATTATATGTTTCGACCATTATTTGATTGCGTACAAAACACTGTATTTAGTATTTGATGTGAAGTAAATAACAGGAAATGGATGCTTTATAATCTAGACAATTCAAGTGTGTTTATGATTTGGGAGTACAAATAATAGTTTCAGAAAAAACATCTGCAGTTTGTCTCGAAGTCTCTTTATTGAGAGGCGTCTGCCTTTTCCTCTGCTTTAAAGTTTAGAACAATGAGAAAAATATGCTTTGGCCTGAGAGCATATAGATTTTGTTGTTATATAAAAAACCTTTTCAGACTTTGTCGTGCAAACATTCCTATCTGTGTATTTTTATTTCAACGACTAATCTAGTAGCAGATCGGGACTACACAACCCCTTTACCTTAGATTATAGAACTCATGATCTCCGCCTTATAAGTAAGTGTATTTAGATATTTTAGGTCACCAAGTACTTAAATTTAGTACCATTAGTACCTACGTAGCTTTATGGTCAATGTATAGACTCATCCCCTATTACATGGAATAGATCGGCCCGATATCGGCGTCCGACGCAGCTTATGTCCCTATTGCCTATAGTGCTTAGTTCATAGACCGGTAACGATAACTACATAGGCATTTATGAGATTATCTACTAGCCCACATCGTGTATTAATTCCCACTACTACATTATAGGTACTTCTTAGAAGTGGTTATAGCAAATCCTTGACTTAATTGAACCCTAACAATTGAGACAAGTCCATAAAAAGTATTCAATTTGCTTTAAGAAGTAATACAGAATTTGTATATCGGTTTTTATCACTACATTGTATAAAACAAAGTCGTTTTCTCTGTCCCTATAATCCTATGTATGTTTAATCTCTCAAATACGTAACAGATTTTTATATTGTTTTTTAATAGATACAGTGATTCACGAGGAGCGTTAATATGTATAGAACATTCAATAAATAGCGGAGAAATTTGGTATCACAATTGGGTGCAATTATATCACAGTACGAGCCGGGGCCGGTCAATAATTGAGAATATTTTTAAGCAATTTTTAGTTTATGAACGACTGTAAGGGCGCTTTTGTTTACAAACAAATCGCGTCTTAATATGCCCTTAGTCGTTAAATAGACATTTGATAGATGTGCGTGATCTGTAAGGGATACTAAATATCAGTTTAGATATGCGACCGACACACAAGACCGGCGCCAGTAACATCCGATTCGTAGGCTATTGTATGGAAACAATTTTGAGCGTGAAACAGAGATTTGCGTCATGATACCGTATCAACACAATTGACGTATTGTGGTCTTGGCTGGTTACCACAAGACCTCAATACGTTCATTTACAGGATTTGATAACCCCTAGGCTGTAACTTCGCATTCAGTTATTTTGGTATGGCTATTAAATTCTTTGCAGAATGACGTTAGATTTCCGGCCCTTTTTTGTACCTTTTTATGGAAGAGGGAGCTAAGGAGCAGACAGATAGAGAGAAGTATCACCTAATGATAATTGATCTGCACCACCCATGGACACCTGCAACACCAGAGGCGTCACAGGCACGTTGCCGGCCTTTTACGATGGCTTCTTGAAGATTTAAAGGTTATAGTTATAGGTTCGAAAATATCGCGGCCGTAAGTTTTTTCTACTTGTACTTAATAAATACTGGTTATAGCTTTACTTTACAAAAAGGGTTTGCTGTCATAAAATTTTGAAAAGTCTATGGTTATGTTAATATACATACATACTGAACTGAAAAATGTGGATGTATTTTATATTTCTATGGTAGTCCAACTCTTTTATGCAAAATTACTGCTTATAGCCAAACTTATCTCAGGTACAAAAACTTTTTAAGTTCCCTCATCAATTTTTAGGGTTCCATATCGAAAGTTAATAACAGGATTCTATGTAATAAGACTTCTCTGTCTGTCTGGCTATTTATTTATTGGCTGTATCTCATTAATGGTGATAGCTAGACAATAATTTTTTTACAGATGTTGTAGGTATTTATTTGAAAAGGTAAAGAATATATAATTAAGAATATAAAATTAAAAAAATCTTATCTTATATATAAAAATGGATCGCAAAATGTGTTGGTAAGCGCATAACTCAACAACGCCTGGACCAATTTTGCTAATTCTTTTTTTGTTGGTTTTGTTATAGTCAGGAGAAGGTTCTTATGAAAGAAAATTTTAGAAAAGTAGAGGGGAAGATTAGGAAAAAGTGACACTATGATAGCGAGATAGTTGGACCCGTGCGAAGCGGGGGCGAGCCGCTAGTCTTTATATATAAAAATGGATCGCAAAATGTGTTGGTAAGCGCATAACTCAACAACCCCTAGACCAATTTTGCTAATTACTTTTTGTTGTGTTTGTTATTGTCAGGGGAAGGTTCTTATTAAAGAAAATTTTAGAAAAGTAGAGAGGAAGATTAGGTAAAATTCATAGCGAAATAGTTGAACCCGTGGGAAGCGGGGGCGGGCCGCTAGTAAGTAATAAATTAATACATTTTATATCCTAAAACTGTAGAGTTTGTTTGTTTATTTGAACTACTAGTTCGAGTTGAACAATTATTATTGTGTTAGTCCATTTATCGAGGAATGCTAAAGATAGGCTATATAAAACATCACGCTACGATCTATAGGAGTCGAGCAGCGGGTGTAACCGCGGGACAGTAGCTATATATAATCAATATTAAAGGTATGTTATTATTAACGTATGTTTAATATACAAAACCCTTTGATCAGGTATCCCATGTGCATCTAAACCGTTTTTCATATAAAAATCCCGAATCCCAAGTTAAAACTTAATTACCTACAATAATTTTTATTCTATTTCCGTAATTTGTAATGTTATTCTAATCTATTTTGATTCTAGGTAGGCGTTTCCTAGCTCATGCTAACACTATCACAATATTTGTATTCAAATATTGTGTAAATACTGAATACTAACTGTTTCTATGACCTAGTACCTCGTGGCATCATGATATTACCGGTATTAGGTTATACAAATATTCATTTGGAATATCTACATGATGCATTTCATATGAGACCTTAAATCCCAAGAGAGCAGGCAGAAATAGGAACTACTTTTCTTATACTATTTTCTAATAAGTATAAGTACTCTGAGATGCGTAACAAAACTTCTCGAAGTTATTGTTATTGATATTATTTGTATATGCTATGTTGATATTGCGTTGAATAAAATATGTACTTTTTTCATAATAACCAAATATGATACCAACTACTCATCTAATAGAGCATTAGCACTTTCTCAAGAACCTACCTAAACCATATCGACTGCAATGTCCACCAGTCTGCCAAGCGTAGAGATTAAAGCAAACCTTTTCGAGTGGTAAAATCTATTATCATATATGTTTGACTGATTTACTTTAATTCTTCATAATTAGTAGTGATAGGAATAAAATCCTACTAAGCGAGAATGGGCAACACTACTAGTTCTACACCATTTTGGCGCGCGCACAAGGGTTGCGCGCGTCGGAGCTGTCGAAGAGGGAAAACTGTTTTCGCGCGTTTTGTTTTGTAAAGCTAATTTCTTAAATTATATGTTTCTTTATTAGTAACATTCATATTAACAGTAGATACCAGAGATCTGTTAATTAAAATATTTACCTGGCATTCAGCGTCACCGACGTAGCAGCAATCTCCGGACACTGAGGTGGGCGACCACAGGTGTTCGCCACTGATGGCGCTGTCGCTCCAGTCGGGGGTCGAACGCAACACCCGCGCACCTCCGACATCGCCAGTCCGTCTGTAACAAACACAAATTATATTACATTAGCACATATGTAATAATACGCCTCAGTTACTTATAGATTTTGTATAAAAAAAAATAAAATTATTAATTGCGATCTTATTTCGAGTCTTGTGTGCTGGTCAAATGACATTTAAAAAAAATGCACAAGTGATTGATTTGCAGCAATAAAAATACAAAATAAATTGCATTGTATCATATTGACTGAATCAAATACGCATTAAGTAAATTGAAATAAACATTACATACGGTTTATTTAATTTTAATCTACCTATAAATAAAATGACACGAACTTGTATTTTGATTTCGCGCCAAAGTGTTCTTTTATTAGGTCCACAGATTAAAATAATCAATATTTGGCAGTGAATGTAAGGAGGTGGTATTTAAATTTGTTTAACAAATTAATCAAGAGCGTACATTACCTCATCGTGTAATGGATACAATAATAACATGTTTATAACCTATTATTAGAAGATCCATTATTTTTATTTAATTTGTAGGAGTATTAGGTGTGGTTGATTTTAGCGCCATTTATATATGTATAGACCCAGTATGCGAAAAAGTAAATTGTAAAGAATGCTCTTTTCTTGAAGGTTTGATAACCTAATATTTTATTCTACCGGAATATGATTTCAACAGCTTATCCGTCATTGGACTTGAAAGTTATAAAACGCTATAAGTGAATAACAGCTATAAAAGTAAAATAAAAGTAAGTGCCATATTATTTCGTAGAGAAAATCTTATTTGCATAACTAAATAATTCTTTTTGCGCAAAATAAAATTCAGCAGTACTTAGGAACCTACATTTTGGCAGAGAGCCAAAACGCTAACAACGTTACACGACAGCAATGCTCTAAGGGATTTTAATACATTCATGAAAGGATTTAATTTAAGTATAAAAGGTGTTAGATAATACTTGTGAAGTATGTATACAAGTGCGAAGTGTTGGTGTGAGACCAAATTTACAATAATACGCCTCCAGAATACGTTGAAAAGCCTTTGGGTCCCACCTCTTGTCTGTCCTCCATTGTAATGTAAAATGTTCAGCTGTTGCTTTTGAAATATGGGGCTCCCAGTAACTGTATGAGGGAACAAATAACTCGGACTGCTTGGCGTGTCAACAATATGTGTTAGTAGGATAATGTTTTGATTTCTTTCCAAAGATTTATTCAAACTTCCATCAATTGCCTACATTTTTATTGAAGAAGATATTTTAAATGTGTTGTCAACTTCTTAAATAATAATGTTATGATAACATAAACTTATAGTTTTGATACTGTATACATTAAATTTATGTGGTAGTTCTGTGTAGGTACTTACTCGTATAGACAATAATATAAAAAAAGTAATCGCAATCCAGTGAATAGGTCTTCCTACATAATTATCTTTTCGTTACAAGATATGTACGTACTGTTACCATGTTAACTCTTTAATTATTTTATTTAAAATAATGATGAAAACATATCTTTTAAACTTAAATGTGATTTATTCCCAATTTAAGAGTAATTACTGATAATAAACAAACAGATGAAACATTTTTTTGCAATGGCAACTGAGTTCCAAATAAAATTGTTGCTGTTGACTAAACTGCCAGTGTCAAGTGATTACGGTAAATAAATAAATAAATAATTGAAAGATAAATAAAATAAAAATAAATAAATTTAGTAACATTTAAAAATGATTGCAATGTTAACGTGTAACGTGGCTTTAGGTAAAACATATCTAATATTTAAATTAAATAAATATAATGAAATAACATTCATGGCAGTTGGTATACAGATAATAAATCTGATACAGATTCAATTGTAACTTCTCATAGTTTCTATCCAAGGAGGATAATAATTCCGTCTCTTTGCGTCCAAAATAAGAGCAAATCGATAACTATTTTTATCGTTAACGTATTTGGTTTGGCCTTGTATTTAAGGTTCGTTTCAATTTTGATTGGGAGTCATATTATGACGTAGCAACCGATTGGTATTGACAAGGTATAAACAAGGGTGGGTTCTAGGCTTCTAGCTAAGTAGTTGTAATTAGTATAGTGAGCGCCAGAGTGCATCATCTTACAAGATTAATCTAGCAAATGAACGCTGCTGCTAATATTGACCATGGCCGCTGATGTAGTACACAGGGTGGATCGCTGATGGACAAACAATTATCCATGTACTCCGATTTATTAGAGGGCATTCAAGGACTATTGTTGATAATACTGTACTAGATATATCATGTAAAATATATATTCAATCTTTTACGCATGTTATTGACTTGACAACATATGAATAAGATAAGACTTCCTAGGCTTAGAGTTCGTTACGTCGATGAAATGCCAAAAATTAAACCAAGGCCTCTGTTAAATTTTAAAAGGTTCACAGGTAAAGCAATTATTTCGTAAACTGAACGAATAAACAAGACTCAAAAGGAACCTTGAAAATTAAGGCCTACTTAAAAGCTTTTCAAATTAGTCTACCTGGGAATAAAACTCTGCCAAGGATGAGAATTATTTAAGATTACAGGAATTTTTAAGCACTTCTTTGTGAGAAGTACAATTAGTTTTCGTATTATTAATTTTATTGTAGGTACTTGGTGACTTTATCAATATAATTTTGCAATGACTGCGCGATCGCGGGTTCGGTTCCCGCACGCTTTGTGTGATCCACAAATGATTATTCCGAGTCTGAGTGTGGTGTGTATGTGAAATAGTTGGTTTGTAAGCGCACCCACGACATAGGAGAAAATCCTAGGGAGGGGCAACATTTTTGTTTTGTAAAAAAAAAGGATAGAAAGTAAAGGAACATCACTAAATGTGCAACATTTTTGATATATTTCTATAAATTGTGAACTTCTGTTTTATATAAGTCATAAGTTCGTTTCGTAAGTAGGTTTCTCATCTCCATATAACTACCTATCTAATAAAGTTTCAAATATAAAAATTTTACGTACATCTGTAAAAATAAATTGCAATAAAATAATACTCGTATTAGAAGAATCATTTTAAAATAAGGAAAATGTAATTTTAATTTTCAGTCTGGAATAACATTTTTTTATGTGATAGTTCGGCAAACTAGCAGCAATTATCTGAGTTAGCAGGTAAGCAATCAGCGCCGCCCATGGACGGGTGTTTGCAACAGGAGTTACGAGTGCGTTGCCGACCATTTTGGGTTTAGGGATTAGGAGGGGGTACGATTGGGCCTCCAGTAACCTCACCCACACGGCGGCACCCAACAGTGTGGTTATTTCACGCCGGTTTTCTGTGAGGCCATGGTATAACTCCAGTCAAGGCGACCCATTCGTGCCGAAGCATGGCTCTCCCACACTTTTATTGTTATACTAGCTATTCTCGCGCGGTTTCACCCGCTGCTTGGCTCCAAATAATCGTAGTGTGTTGTTTTATAGCCTATAGCATTCAGGAACATTATAGCTATCTATCAGTGAAAGAATTTTGTCAATCCGACCAGCAGTTCCAAAAATTACGCCCTACATACAAACATAATAATTTTACCTCTTTATAATCTTAGTATAGATATTGTTTATTTTATGGTTTTGTAATTTCATTTGACTGGCCTTATTAAATATTTCTTTTGGCTAAGGATCCAACCCACCTAGGACTTTATTATACTTTGATTAAAGCAAGTTGTACTTGACCAGAATAATCTTAACAAAACTCTTCCGTAAAATGTGTTTTTTCTTTGAATAAAGAATAAAAATAAAACTCGAAAACACGCTGTCAGCGATCGTTTTTTGCCAGTTGAATTTTGCAGTCACACCTTAATACACTCATTACTTAAAACCGCATAAAAATTATAAAACAGTTTCCCCTTTTCTAATAAAAACAAATAAAATTTATATTTATAAGTGAATTTTAATATTGTAAGTATATTTTTATGTAGATGTAGAAATGTAGTGTTCTCAGACGTTATCTCAGAAGGTGTAGTCAAACGACCTAACTAAGGTCGTGGTGATTTGGAATTGAAAATCATCATAGGAGGCCTACCCAATGTCCAGCAGTAGGCATCTTGTGGCTGATAGAATGACGAAGTACCTATTTAAAAGTATAAATTTTGTCAACAGTAAAATTAGTGAAGATGGATTGTGCTTTCTGCAACCGTACGATGGATGGCTGCGCGTCCATAAAGTGCAGTCTTTGCGCGTCGCAGTACCATTTGGAGTGCGTGAGCAGCGAGCACCTGGTGCCGAGTACGAACACCTGGCGGTGCTGCCGCTGCGAGACCCTCAACTCCGCGCCCGCACAGCCCAACATCGACACTGCCGTCAGCGTGTAGTGTGGAATGTATTGTTGTAACCAGTAAATTGATTGTGAACCCCCCACCAAGGCATATTTGGAAATAAATGTATTTTGCTTTACAGTAATTTCTTGTTTAATTTATACACCGTGTACTAGGAAAAGTGTAGGTCCTTACATTATTTATTTACATTCATACGGTAAATGAGAAGTCACGACTACTACACGAATACCTGCCCTGAACCTGCTAGGTATCTAGAGTTCATTTTGATTCATTGATTCGTAAACTATATAAGCAGGTTGATAGGATGTCTAGTTCTACAGTCAGAATTTTAATTCAATTCCTGATTTGACATGACCTATTGTCGTTTTGTGAAATAATGATACTACATAAAACAGTGTAGTGATGAACATAAAAATCGATAAACAATCGGTGAATCAGTTTCAGGAGGCATTCAAAAAATTACGCCTACCGAATGGTCTAAATGTTGTCAAAAGAAGAGCAAACAATTAGTAAGCTAGATATGTTAATTGACAATAAAAATTACAGACAGAATTCATAATAAATGTTACAGAAAGTAACAACGATAGCGATAGCGATGACTGCGACAATTTATAAAATTTGTTCTATTTTTCATGTTCCTTCATGACCACATTTTTTATTAATTTCACACACAATTATAAAAGAAAAGACTCAGATCGTTAATTAATTGTCATAACTAAATTATCGGTTCAGAAATATTTTATTTCCTGATAAACT